CGCCTGCCTGAGCACTGGCCTGGTTCGGCCGCGCCAACAGGGGCCGGAAAGAATTCTTAAGATACAAGCCTCTCTCACAGCACACTGGCACGACAAGGGCGCAAAGAATTTTCCGCTCACAAGCGCGGAGTCTAAATGACCTAGGCGGCTCCAAGCTTGGGCAAAAAACGAGTCCGGCGGATAACATAATCATCATGAAGTTTCTATCTATACCGTACGTCACGACTCGCGGGGGGGGCCGGCACTCTCCCTCCGCCAGCCGCGGTCCTGCAAAGCAAGCAAAAGCGCCGCGTCGCCCTCCCTGCCGGAGGGCGCGCCGCTTGAGCTCTGCGGCCCGCCTCTGCGCGGAGGGCGCGCTGGCGGCGGCCGCGAGGCGCGCGGCCTAGACCCTGTTCCAGTAGGTTCCGCGGCGGAGCGAGTTGATGTCGCCGATGTACTTGAGGTTGGAGCCGATGGCGGCGAAGGAGACCTCCTGGTCCCAGCAGACCTTGTCGGCGACGCGCTTGACGTCGGCGGCGGTGATGTCGTCGACGCGGGCGAGCGTCTCGGCGAGGTTCATCCGGCGGCCAAAGGTGAGCAGCTGCCGCCCGATCTCCTCCGCGGTGGGGGAGGTCCCTGTGGGGCGGTGTCGAGGGCGCGTCAGACTGCGAGGGGAGAGACAGAGTGGCCGCTCGTCCTTGGGCTCGCGGCAAGAGGGAGGCGACCGGCGGCGTGTGCTGGCCGCGGAGGGAGGGAGTCTGTTCCGCATCTAGGGCTGCGGTGCCGTCCATCTGCTGCAGCAGGTTGTACTTGAGCTGCGCCTGCGGGCGGGCGGGGGCAGATGCGTCGGTGGACGGTGGGACGCGGTGCCGTCGGGGCGGCGGCGGAGCGGGCGAGGCGGCTCTCGACAGAAAGAGGGCAGCGTGAAGCGTCTCGGAAGTGTCTCGGGAGCGTCTCGGGATGGCACTCAGACCTTTCCGCGCGCGAGGTCCTCGTCGCTCACCCCCTGCGTGAGCGCGAGCATCTCGTCCTGCGGCAAGGCGGAGGCGGGGTTAGGCAGAGGCAGGGTGAGGCAGAGGCAAGGTGAGAGCGCCTCTGGCAGGGGGCTGCCTGCCCCCCGCAACTTCACGTCTACAGATTGGCAGGAGCCCCGCGGCACTCGGGGTGCGTGCCCGAAGGTGTGTGGGGCGGGTGCGGTGGGATGCTGGCGGCGCCTGCAGGATCTGGAACAGCGTCGAGTAATCGTCGTAAGAGTCGAGGTTCGCCGTCACGTACACGCCGAAGAGGCCCGTGTCGTTGTAGCAGGTGCAAAAGGGCTGCACCTGCTCCGCGACCTGCGGCAGGGAGGAGCAGGGCGTGGGGCGGCACACGGGAGAGGCGGCGCGAGCACACCGGGGAGCGTGTGTGTGTGTGTGTTTGGGGGGTCGGAGGGGCGCGTGCTCCGTCAGAGAGGTGGAGAGGGTGCGGCCGAGACTTGCGCTTGTCGATGGCGAGCACCATCGCGGCCAATCTCGGCCGGCCTCGGCTCCTCTCGCGCGCACCTTGTACTTGTCGAGGGCGAGCACCATTGGCGCGGTCGCGTACTGCATGTTTGACGACTTCTTGTCGTAGGTGCCCAGCAGCGACTGGCACAGCATCAGCGTAAACACGTCGGGGTCCGTCCACTTGAGACCCTCGAAGGCGAGCGCGAAGTTGGCGGCCGGCATGTCCTCCTTGAAGTCGCGCACGTCCGCGCCGCAAAAGAGGGAGGCGTGGTTCTCGTAGTCGTGGCCCGCAGGCGCGACGGTGGGCACGCCGCCAAAGTACTCGCTCGCGAGGTCGAGGACCTGGACGAGGGCGGGGAGAGGGTCAGCCGACAGTCCGAGGCCTCACCCTCTCGCGAGGCCGGCGGCATCGTGGAAAGCGTTGCTGCTGCAACCGCTCCTACTGCTGGCGCCTGGTCGTGCTCGACGGCGCCCGCGGCGGCGAGCACCATGCGCGGCGCCGTGTAGTGCGTCTTGACGTAGCGACTGATGTCGTCCGCGGTGATCGAGTTGATGTTCTCGGTCGGCCCGAGGATCGTGCGCGCGAGCGGCGTGCCGACGTACGCCACCTCGTGCAGCCGGTCGAAGACCACCTCCTCGATCTGGCTCTCGACCTCCTCCATCTCGCGCAGAATCACCTGCCGCTCGTTCTCCACCGCCGCCTGCGCGCGGCGCACCGACATCGCTCAGGTCCCGCCTTTCGCGGACGGCGCGGCGGGGCGCGGCGGCTGCCGCGCGCAGCGGCAACGATGGCGTGCCGGCGGCGGCGGCGGCGGCGTGCGGCCGCTGCGCTGAGCGCGCAGCCCAGGGGAGAACAGGCGCATGAGCGCGCGCAGGCGCGGAGCGGTCGGGGTTGCGGCGCGCGCCGGGCTGAAGGTCGAGTTTAGCAGGATATCGGACAGCAGCTCCACCGCCCTCGGCACGTCCTGCTTGAGCACCTTGGCATAGTACACCGTCTGCTCGCGCGAGGTGTACGCGTTGAGGTGCCCTCCCATGTTCTCCACCTCCATCTCCAGCTGCCGCGTGTTCCGCTTGGCGGTGCCCTTGAACGACATGTGCTCCAGGAAGTGAGCCACGCCGTTCGTGGCGTCGGACTCATACCGGCTGCCAGTGTCTATCCAGACTCCCAGCGTAGCAGTGTCACCGCCTGTGCTCTCTGTGGCGACGCGCATCTGGTTCGGCATCGTCGCCACGTGGGTGGGCGGCTGCACCGCCGCGACGGCGCTGCTGTACGCGCGCGCCGCGGGCCTGGCGACGCGTCGCTGCGCCAGTCTGGTGAGCTGCTGCATGTGTGGCGGTGCGCAAGAGAGCAAATCCGCCGCGTATTTTTTCAGCGCATCGCCTGGGCTGCGACGCGGGAAGGGTCCCGGCCCCAACCCTTCTCCCACAAGACCGGCCACGGCTACGGGTCAAGGCGCATCGCGGTTTCTACCACGACGCGATCTTTGTCAAGCGCAACAACTTCAACCTGCTGCTCCGCGAGACGTTCGTTCGGTCGGTCGGCGGCGGCTTTGCGCCCACCGCCGTTCTCAAGCTGCGCCGCCTCGCGCGCAAAGTCGCGCGCGGCAGCGTTGACCGCACAGCCTACTCGCCCAAGTACTCGCTCTCTTTTATGTCCCACCATGCAGAGCGCATCTCTCTCTCTGTCGTGTGCGAGGGCCGAGGCGTGAACCGCGCCATTCGCTCTCACCTGGCAACCCTGTCTGCACGTCTCGCGCGCGCGTGAACAGGGAGGCTCCAGGCCCCAAATGACGTGTGAGTGTTAGAGTTGTTTGTGTTTGCCCTGTTGAGGTCGGGCACTTGGAGCACTTGGAGTGCAGTCATCAACCGCACATCCAGGGCCGGGGAACTCACGCAAGGACTCTCACGCCCCCCCCCTTTGGGAGGTTCCCCGGAGGGAGGTTCGTGTCATGAGAGAAGATACACCCCTCCGTGTATCTAGACGGGCGGAAGATACACTGAAGATACACTTATGCGGAGATACACGGCCCAGCCCAAACGAAGAGGTGTATCTTCATATGAAGATACACCGCGGCCCAAACGAAGAGGTGTATCTTGACGGAGCGCGTTCATAGTGAAGATACACGTAAGCGGGAGCGGCAGTTGCTCATGCCGCTGGAGGGGCTCGGCCCGCCCTTTGAGGGCCCCAATGGCATCATGTTCCGCGCCGGCTTCTGGAAGGGCAAGCCCGTGGTTCTCCGCATGTCGTCCGCGTCCAGCACCGGCTACGAGAACGTGTTCCAGCAGGGCGGCAGCAAGAAGCGCAACCGTCCCTTTGTCGCCAAGTTCAAGCGGGTCGGCGAGAAGACTCAGCGCCACCTGCCCGACTCGAACAGCGCGACAGCCGAGGAGGCGGCCGCCAAGCTGGCCTACCACCACGAGTACGGGTCGGAGCTGCCGCCGCCTGCAGCTCGCCAGCCTCGCCGCTCCCCGGAGGTGCGCTCCTGAGCCCGCACCCATCCTGGCTGCGCTCAGTCCTCCTTCCCTGGGCTGTAGGAGATGGCGGCAGAGCGGGCGGTCAAGGAGGCGCGCAAGCAGGCCAGGCGGCCGCAGAGGCCGCCGCTCACGCCCGCGCCGGCGCAGCCTCCACAGTCTCCTCTCACGGGTCCCGGCGTGCCGTGTGTGCCGGTAATCCCTCTCCCCATGGGCTACCACCCCCTCCCCTCGGAGCCAGTCATCCCTGTGGGCCCTGTGGGTGAGCCCCAGCCAGGCCAGTGCCAGCACTCGTGGGACCCAGCCACCTGCGCCCTCTGCAACTGGTCCTGGGGCGCCCGGCGCTGAGATACACTCAAGATACACTCGAAGATACACTTCGTAGATACACCGGAGGAATGTTATAAAGTGTATCTTTGAAAATGTATAGTCAAGTGTATCTTTGGCTATCACTCGAACTTTGGACAAGGGAATCGCCAGAAGAGGGGGGCGTGAGAGTCCTTGGAACTCAGGGCGTCACTTTTCAGAGAGAGAGATTTTTAGCCAATTTTTTGTTGTCACTTTTCTGAGTGGTGCCCGTCTAGCCGCAAACGCGGAGAAGAGAATCTCTCTCTCTCTCTCAAACGCGGCGCCCCGAAATGCTGGTCAATCTAGGGGGTCTTTCGACCGAGTCTGTGAGTCCTGGCCGCCTCCTGGTGAAGGGCGGTGGTGGCAAGCTCTCGAACGGAGATGGTGCGGGAGAGTACGGTGGTACGGGTGCTCCAGGGGATCCAGGCAGGGGGTCACGACACGCATCCTCTCTCTCTCTCTCCGACCCTTCACGAACCGAAAGATAGGTAGGTAGGTTGGGGACGACACTGCTTCTGCAGCGTGCACCTCGTTACTGTAAGCTGTAACCGTGTATGTATGTAATCGCCGTGCGTGTTTGTTATGATGTGTTTGTTACGATGAACACACCAGTGAGGGAGGGCGAGACGATCGAGGGGTCCCGTACCATGCGGAATCGACCCTATCCAGTGCTCAAGTGCTCAAGGTAGGCTGGTCAATATGGCGCCCTATCCGGCTTGGAGCCTGAACCCTGGCGGTGTGTGCGTTCTGCGTTGTCGGTAATCGCCAGCCAACGTCCAACGATTGGCTCGACTCTTTCAGACTTCCCTACCCCACCCTCGCCGTCGCCGTTTCCGGCCGGTTCGCGTCGGCGGGCACATGCCCACGACCGACGTCTACCGCGAGGCGGAGAAGCGGTGGCGCCACTCGCTCCAGGAGCCCGGCGAGGAACTAATCGACTTTGAGCTCGCCGACGATCGAGTCCGCCGGGTGGATGTGGCGGCCGACGCGCCCGACTGGCTGCGCGGCGCGCAGCTGTACGCGTTGTGTGGTGTCGATGGCTTCCGCTTCCTTCGCTGCCCGTTCTCGCCAGAGGAGGAGCTCCGCTGGAGCCACGCCGCCCTCGCCGCATGGACGGAGCCCGAGGCGAGCGAGTCCAACCTCGACCTGACGCACGCCGGCGAGCGGGGCGCGCTGTGGGCGCAGCACGAGGCGGCGCCGTCCTCGTCGGCGCTGCGGCACCTGAGCTGGGTCACGCTCGGCTACCACTACCAGTGGAGCGAGAGGCGGTACGATGAGGCGAGGCGCTCCCCCTTCCCGCCGGCGCTCGGCGCGCTAGGTGCTCGCATGCACACCACGGCCCGCAGATGAGCCTGTCGCTCATAACATGCACCGCGCTCACGCACACACGCACACACGCACACACGCACACACGCACACACGCACACACGCACACACGCACACACGCACACACGCACACACGCACGCACGCACACACGCACACACGCACACACGCACACACGCACACACGCACACACGCACACACGCACACACGCACACACGCACACACGCACACACACACACGCACACACACACACGCACACACACACACACACACACGCACACACGCACGCACGCACGCACGCACACGCACGCACACGCACGCACACACACGCACACACACGCGCCGCAAGCACCGTGTCACAGCCAGGCCCAGTGGTTGAGTGGACCAGGCGCGTCTAGGCGCGGACCTCGGCCGCGCCGTCGGCCAGCCGCTGCGCCCCGAGGCTGCGATCGTCAACTACTACGCGCCCCGCTCCTCGATGGGAGGGCATTGCGACGACGCCGAGCCGTGCCAGGACGCGCCGATCGTCTCGCTCTCCTTTGGCACGCGGCGCCCTCCCCGCCTTGCCCCTCCCGCCCTGCCACCCTCCTGCCCCGCCCTCGCCTCCTGTCCCGCTCCAGCTCCGCCGAGGTCGCTCACGCCCGCGTGTGAGCCCCTCCAGGCCTCTCCGCCACCTTCCTGCTTGGAGGGCCCTCCCGACACGCCGCGCCGCTGGCGATGCGGGTCCGCTCGGGCGACGTGGTGGTGCAGGGCGGCGCCTCGCGCGGCTGCTACCACGGTGTCGCGCGCGTCCTGCGAGGCACCGCGCCCGCTCGCTTGCGCGAGGCGGCCAGCGCCGGCGGCGGCGGCGGAGGCGGCGACGACTTGCGGGGCGTGGCGGAGTGGCTCGAGCGCGGCCGTATCAACATCAACGTGCGGCAGGTCGGGCCGGAGGCCGGGTGGGACGAGGATCCGGATGCAGCGGCGGCAGTGTTGGCCGGCGGCCGCCGGTGTCGGGACGACGGGTGATCAGCCGAGCGGAGTGAGGCTTCCTTCTCTTCTTTTTCGTTCGAGCGTGCATGCGTGCACGTGGAGCGTACCGTCCGCATGGTCGCGACGCGGCCCCAACCAGGGCGGCATGACCGATGTTTTTGAACTTCGGTGGGCGGCCGTAGACAACGTGCGCCTTCTCTTCAGGCGGCGCCGGAGGACCATCATTCGTTCAGCTTCAGGTCGCCCGAGGAGAATTCGACGGGTGGCAGCGGAGCGCCGGCAGCCTGCAGCCGCTAGCGAGCACCACGAAGGCGCAAAGCCTGATGGGCGGTGCCCTGGCGAGTAGAGACCACGCCTGCTATTCACAGCACAAGCCCTCGCCGGGAGCTCGAGCTGCGCAGCGAAAACCAGACGGATCCCCCTGTGAAAAGGTGAGGCGTGGTCTCCTCTCGCTAGGCCAATCAAAAAGAAAAAACAGTGCCCACTTGAAGGCACGCACCGAAGGATTATAGGCACGCCCAGGCAACTGCCTCGGCCTCTCGCTCTCGCTCTAGACGTCTCTTCCATTGCCGCTTGTCGTTGCGCAGCAGTGCACGAACTTGACAACGTGTCTGTCACGATGTGGCCACGCCGCTTCGCTCGCCGCGCCGCTCCACCGCCGCTGCTCGCATTGCCTTCGGTCCTGCTGCGGCGCTGCTCCTCGACCCGCAGCCACGCCGCACCGCTGAGCGACGAGCGCATCATGCAGCCGGCAAGTGAGCACGGCCGCTGGCTGCAGCTCGTGCCCGCCTGCCTCTCCGGCGCGTCCATCGGCACCTACCTGGCCACGCCGGCCGTCCTCGGGCCGCACATCTGCCGGGCGCAGGGCGTCGTGGCCCAGATGCCGACCGACTTTGCCTTCAGCGCAATCCCGCAGGCGGCCGTCCTGGGCGGCGCGACGAGCGCCGTCGCCAGCGTCCTCCTCGCGCCGCACGTGGCGCGCATGGGCACGCGGCGGATCGCGCTCGCCGGCGCATGCCTCTTCCCGGGCGGCATGCTTCTCGCCGCGCTCGCGGTTCATGCCAATCACTGGCCGTTGTACGCCTTCAGCACCACCGTCGTCTCTGGGCTCGGCTTCTGGTGCGTCTATCCGCAGATGCCGCCCTTCCTCGCCACCAAGTGGTTCGCCGACGGCCGCCGCCGCGGGCTCGCGCTCTCCCTCTACTTCGCCGCCTTCGGCTCGGGCCTCTTCTTCGCGACGCCCTTCCTCGAGGCCGTGCTCGCCGCCTGCCGCCTGCCGCCCACGCGGCTCGGAGGCCTCGACCTCCTCGGCACCGACGCGCTCTCCACGGGCGCGCGAATCGGAGAGCGGATCGCGCAGCTGGACGGAGCCGCCGCAGTCCCTTGCGTCGCCGCGACGGCGCGCGACCTCTGCCTTCGCGCACCCTCCCGGAGGCTCCTCGGAGCGCCTCTCTGGACCGAGTGTCTCCTGGACCCTCCGTCTCCTGGACCCTCCCGCAGGCGCGCGACCTCTCCGCCAGCGGCTTCGCGGACTCGCTCCGCGAGGGCGTCTTCCTCCTCGACGGCGCGAGCGGCGCAGCGGAGGCCCTCGCCGCCCTCGCAGGCGTCAACTTCGGGCTGCTGGCGATCGCGGCGCTCACCTTCCGCCTGCCGGAGCCGGCGGCGCCGCACTCACTTCCGCCTGCCGAGGGCCGCCCAGGCGGACGCTCTGCTGCTCCGGGCGGCGGCGAGAGTGGCAGCGGGGGCGGTGCTGAGGGCGGCGGCGGGTTGGATTTGGCCGCCGCGCAGCGCACGCCGCAGCTGTGGCTGCTGGCGGGCGGCACGCTCGGTCTGCCCGCTGTCTGCCCGCTGGCTCGCCTCCTTCTCCTCGAACCTATCTCCCAGAGCGCTCCCGGAGCCTGCCCGTAGGCCTGTCGATGGCGGGGCTGCCCTTCCTCTCGGTCGGCAAGCTGATGATGTCCGACCTCGGCTCGGCCGCCGCCGCCGCGGCAGTGGCGGGAGGCGCGGCGACGGGAGCGGTGGGCGCGGCGGCGGCCACGGCGGCGGTCGCTGGCTACCCTCAGCTCATCTCGAGCGCCAACATTGGCGGGCGGCTGCTGTGGGGCCCAATCGGCGACGCGGCGGGCTGCGGTCGGACGCTCTGCCTTGTCGGCATTGCTTTGCCCGCCTGCTTGCTCGCCGGCACGCCTCGCCCGCCCACCCTCAAACTCCGTCCGCGCGGCTGCGGGCGGCGCTACTTGACGCCCGTCGCCGCCCAACAGGCATGCCGCTCGCGACGCGCGCACTCGCGGGCGGCGCCGACCCCGAGACCGCCCTCACTCTCTTCCGTGCCGCGACGTGCGTCAATGTCGGCGCTTACGCGGGCGTGCCGGTGCTTCTCGCGCCGGCGACCGCCACGTTGCACGGCGCCGGGCCTCTGTGCGGTCTATGCAGAGTGTTGGAATGGAGCGGTAGGCGACTGCGGACCTGTTTGGCTCAGCCGACGCTGCGGCCATCTACCAGCGCATCGGCGCGACCATCACTTTCGCCTCGCCCCTCGGCGCCGCCGTGTGCACGCGCTTGCGCGATGGCGCCTATGCGCAGCACGCAGCGGCGCTGACCGAGCTGTGTGACGAGGCCACTTTCGCCGCCACGTTCGGCGCGGAGCCTCGCCCGGCTCGCCCACGGCCCAGCCCCGCTCGCCACACAGTCAAGTGACCTCGCAACACTGTCACGCAGGCGCGCCGCCCGCCGCGCTCGAGCAGCTGCTGGCCTCCAAGGCGGTGACGCTGCCGCTGCTGCTGCACATCGCGCCAGAGGGAACGCCCGACCCGACTCCGCTGCTGTACGACGGCGCATTCTGCGCGCTCGGGAGCTGCGCGGCGCTCGCGTGCGCGTGCAACGGCGCCGCCTTTGCGCTGCCTCGGCCTTACGGGGGCTCCCGTAGGGAGATCTGCCGCAGATGATATCTGGATTCTGCACTAGTGTCTGGTTATACACGCAATACAGAGTGTGCTGCTGCCTGCTCTTCAGCTCTTGCCCTCTTGTCTAGAGCCGTAGAGTCTACTACACGTAAACTTTAGGCTTGGAGCCTGTGGAAGGGTGTCGCTGGAATATGCGTCCGTCCATGTTATTCACAGACCTTTTGTTAAAGCAAACCGTACTATCTACTTTTTCGCGCACACGAACAGCTCTCTGTCTCTCACACATAGAGGTTGGGTAGCGCGGCATCGGCGCGGTGACTGTGCTGTGTGCAAAGGGAAGGGTCATATTGTGTGTTCGCGAGCTGGGAATAAGCTGGCACGGCTTCTGACCGCTCGCTCGCGTCTCGACTACCAGACTGCCGGTCTACAGGCTAACGGACTAAGCTCTACAGACTACAGTCACTGACGTATGCTAAGTCCTACATGGACATGGAGGCGTGCCTTCATTTGCACAACGAACCCGGCACAGACAGAGACTGTCTACCAGGCTCGGGAGGGCTGCAACGGTTGGGTCACTGAGCGCCGCCTATGGTCACTGGGGCTGGGTCGCGGCGCTGGAACCTGTAGGAATCACGAGCCATCGAAACGGTGCGAAGACGCACAACTCCATCCATTTGGCACGGTTGCGGGTTGGCGCTGTGGGCGAGGACGCGGTGCCAGCGGCTCCACGCGCTTTCGTCTCTGCCGCTCCTTTCTGGCGACACCCAGCTCTGTCCATGATGTAGATGGCCGGTGCACCCGTCAACCGGCGATGAAGGGAGGGGGGGTCGGGTTGGTGAAAAGAGAATTTTAGAACCAAGTGCTCCAACCAAGCTCCCTCGCACAACACTGGGCACGGGACTGGCGCGCACTGGCACTAACACAGGTACACCGAAAAGAGAATTCTTAAAGCGCCTCTCTCACAGCACACTGGCACGACCAGGGCGCGGACTTGCGCGGACTGGCACACACACCGGCTCACCACCGGAGCCGCCTAAGCGACTCCGTTAAGAACGGCAAATGCACTCCGTGGTGAAAAGAGAAAGCGGAGAGAAAACAAGAACACAACGCGCTCTCTCACGATTGGGCTGGCTGTTTTCTTCTTGTTCTGCGTTCTGCGCTCTCTCACATGACAAGCGATCCCACGACAGCGAGTGTGGGGACTACATGAACATGATCCGTACGTGAAGGGTGGAGGGGCCCGTCCGCAGAGCTAGGCGGCGCGGGCACCCCCCACTGGGGCCGAGGACAAAAGGCCGTTTGCCGCATGCTTGTTCTTGGTCCATCCAGTTGGTGCGCATCTTGCGCGCCTGCTTGTTGATGTTTTCGGCGTCGCCCGCCACCGCCGCCATGGAGATCAAGAAGATCCCGGCCTGCTGCGGCGGCGCGGCCGGTCGAGGCCGGGCTCGGCCCGGCCCGCGACGGCTGGCCGCCGACGAGCGCGCTCGCGCTGCTCGTCAAAATGGCGGCGGTGGCGATTGCGGCGACGGTCGTTCAGTCGTACAGCGCTCAGGCGTCTGTCTTCTGTCGTCTGTTGTCGCATTTCGCACACTTCTACCTCGAATTCTTCTACCCCCACGACTCGGAACGCGAATGTGACAGGACCATCGGGTCCTTCAGCCACCAAAGTGAGATCACCTGGAGATCACCCGAGAGCAGCTGAGCCTGCCTCTGGCCTCGCCTCCCTCTCCTTCAGGCATTCCCGTGGCATCCTATGGGTCGTCTAGAGTATCGACCTCTGGCGAGTCAGCCAGCCCCACTTTGCGGGCGCCATGAAGTACAGCGATCGCCACCTCGCTGGCCTCTTCGCAGGCCCCCCCGACCGCGTCGAACTCATCGGCGCGGGCTCTCTCGGCTACGGGACCGGCCCCAGCTTCGGCTGAGGGCTGACAAGCTGCCGAGCCCAAATCACTGTGAGAGTCGTGATTTCTTGTTGGTTTTCTAAAATCTCTCTCTCTCTCTCTGGAGATCTGCTGCGTGTGGTGGACGACAAAGGAGGAGGCGCTCGCCGACGCCGCCCCATACACCGTCCGGTCCGTGTTGGTGCCCACCGCTTCCCATAGGAACAAATAGAGTTGTTTGGTATTGATCACCCGCCCGCCGTCCCGGCGGTCCCGCAGCTCGCGCACATCTCCCTCTTAACCCACCTGTAACATCACATAATGGTATTGCTAAAAATCTCTCTCTCTTTCCTTGGCGAACACGTGGAGGAACTGCTGAAGAAAGAAAGAAAGAACGAAAACAGACAACCCAAGGGAGGGATGGGAGGACGGCACGCCGCCACCACACAGGGATTTTAAGGAGAGGTGTGTGGTGCGCTAGCCGTCGCCCACCCTACCTAGGGAGTCTGCCTCTTCCTATCTCTCTTCGCAGTCTCTCGCCGCTTCTCGCTGCAACCTTCATGCCACCTCGCGGTCGTCCCACTCTCGTCGTTCTCTCCCTTGTCATTTCCTCCTCTGTCGCGTCGTTCCCTTGGGAGAAACTGCTGAAGAGCATTCCGCTCGGCGCAATTTTGACCGCGCAAGATAAAGGGGTGGCTAAGGGCTCTGCACGCAAGGCGCCCGCGTCGCAGACGCGGTACCATTGACAAATCTGCAATACACCCCCACACGAGCAAATAGCAAAATCCGAATACCGTGCAGGAATCCGACGATGTGGGACGCAAGCCTTCAGCTGGTGCCAAGACATTCGTAAAATTGAAGCCAAGAACGGCCGCCAAATCCGTGCTTTCGGAGCAACTGAGGGAAAGCCGCTGATCGAGCCCAGCGTGCCCGCGGCCGCCTCCCGCGCAGCAGCGCCTCTGGGGACGACACGCGCTGCGGAATCGGATCGAGCCCATGGAGGAGGAGGACGCAGTCGGCGAATTGGAGGAGGAGAGGAGGAGGGCGCAGTCGACGAATGGGAGGAGGAGGGCGCAGTTGACATTGTCGTGTCTGACTCAGAGGAGGAGTTGGAGGTGCATGGGTGCTCCGGCAACCTAACCTGATCCAGAAGCTCGCCGACGTTGTCACTCAACGTGCGTCATGCGTGCTCGAGCTTGAGGGAGGAGCTCAGCTAACGCTTCGGCCAGCCCCCCAGCGCCGCCGCCCACCGCCACCCACAAAGCACCTGCTCTACTATCCCGTACCTGGCTGGCTGACGCTCACCCCCCCCCGCTCCACTTTCCCCTGATCATGCCCGTGATAGCACCATCACTGTCGCCGTCCTGGTTTTGAACGTGGCAGCTAGACTCTTAGGAACTCGGTAGTTGTGACCCCTCGTGAGTGAGGAGCAGGAGAGAGAGCTTTGTGGTGTTGGTGTGGTTGTCTCTCTATCTCCTCTTCTAGCTCTTAGCGTGAGCTGCGCCCTGTGTCCGACCCCTTTTGCGCAGCAACACCTTAAACTTTTAGGCCCTCCAAATTCGGGAGCGTAGCGGAGTGGGCCCCGAGTTTGAAAAGGGCGACGGACGCTTGCGTCCTAGCCTCCAACAACGCCTCCCCGGCGCAGAGGGCCCCCCGGAGGGATGCACAACCGCTCCACGCCACGCCGCTTGCGGCGGTCCTCTTCCCAGCTCCGCGGGGGCCTGCACTTGGAGCACTTGGAGTGCAGTCATCAACCGCACATCCAGGGCCGGGGAGCTCAGAAGCGCACCCAGCGGGCCGGATGATTGGCATCGGGTTACGGGCTAGAGAGCCCTAGCCCCGGGGGTGCGCGTTCGCAGGGCAAGGGCCTTAAAGTAAACACAGTTCTCCGAGGGTTGGACCCGCGTACCGGGTTTCCCCTTAACTGCAGGACGCCCCCTCTACTCGGAGCTAGTGGACATTACACTGGACACCACGCCCAAACAGACACTTGCTTAGTCCTCGGTCCCGGGGCTCCACCTTCGGTCCTCCCGGGGCTCCGGTTCTCCCCGATTCGCTCTCTTGCTCGCTTGCCGAGCGTCATACGACGGCCGGTGTGGTCGTTTCCCTCGTTGTTGGTGTCGCTTCCTCCGCTGCCGCCTTTCGTCTTCGCTAGCCTCTCCCAGCTGTCAGAGGTCGCTGCCTCTTTGGCGCCGTCCCGCCGCCACACCCTTCCGCCTGCACCCCCCCTGCGGCGGCTGGTCCGGTGGTCCCGTCTCTGACCTCCGGCTGTCGGCCTCCCCCCGCCCTCAGCTCGGCGGCTCCGACCGTCCGTGGCGTCGGAGGGCCCGCCGCACCATCGTAGGCGTCTGGGGCCATGCAGATGGACCAACCACACCACCCCTCGATCCGTTCCTCCCTAAGCATCGCCCGCGCCGCACTGGCGTGTACGACGCTGACGAACAGAATTGGGGCGTCCGGGGCAACGCCCATCGGTTGATGAGGCTCGTTGCTCCAGCTCGGCTCCACCAGGACTTGCTGGCCGCGCACCATCAGCCCAAGGTTAAGCCAAGTGGCGTTTGTCGTCGAGAGATGCGTCGCGTGCGTTATCTTTATCTCCTAGCGCGCCAAGATGGCAAGCCACACCAGCCGGAGGACCCAGGACGTCGAATCGCTCACCGGCTGCGACCTCAAGGGCGTGCGGGTGCGCCGACGCCCAGCCACCGCCGCGACGGGGCGTCCGCGCCGGGGCAGAGCACTGACGGCGGCGCCCGCTGTGCAGGTGCTGGTGGTCGGCGCAGGCGGCATCGGCTGCGAGCTAGTCAAGAACTTGGTGCTGTCGGGATTCGAGCACATCACGATGATCGACCTAGACACGATCGACTACTCCAACCTCAACCGCCAGTTTCTCTTCCGCGCAGCCGACGTCAACGAGTCCAAGGCAAAGGTCGCCAAGAAGGCCGTCCTCGCGTTCCCACACGCCGCCAGCCTCTCCATCGACGCGCACCTGGGCAACATCAAGGACACGGAGCAGTTCGGGCCGGACTTCTTCAAGACGGTGCGGCCGCTCCGCCACCGCAACCTGCTCGCGGCCCGCCACAGACGGCCTCTGAGCGCCTCCTCCTGCGCGCAGTTCAACATCGTGCTAAACGCTCTGGACAATGTGGACGCGCGGCGGCACGTGAACCGGCTCTGCCTCAGCGTCGGCATCCCGCTCATCGAGAGCGGCACGGAGGGGTACGTGGGCCAGGTGCGCGCCATCGTCAAGGGCAAGACAAAGTGCTTTGAGTGCGACCCGCCGCGGGCGCGCCTGCCTTCGCCGCCTGCCTCCCCTCCGCCCGCCTCCGCGTTTGCCTCCGCCGCCGCCTCTTGCCGCCTCTTGCCGCCTCTTGCCGCCTCTTGCCGCCTCTGCCTCCTGCCTCCGCCTCGCTGAGCCCAGCCGTCCCAGCACGCCAAAGCCGCGTCCGCGCCGAGGAGTGTGTGTGCACGCCAGGTGCAAAAGACCTTTCCGATCTGCACCATCCGCAACCACCCCGAGAAGCCGGTGCACTGCATCAGCTGGGCCAAGGAGCGCCGACCCTGCAGAACAACTTGTACCCTCTCCCTCTCGCCCTCTCGCCCTCTCGCCCTCCCACTCCTTGTTCACCCGACTCCTCCCGGACCCTTCCTGCACGTCTGCCTGGGGTCCCAGAGCCCTCCCCTCCCTCCTCCCGCACCAGGAGCTGCTCTTCAAGAAGCTCTTCGGAGGCGAGGAGACGGACCTCGTCGACACCGCAGAGGAGGGCGCCGACGGCGAGGCCGACGGCGGACCACCGGACGGGGACGGCGCCGCCGCCGCACCGCCGCCGCCGCCGCCGCTGAAGCAGCAGGAGGGCGAGAGCGGTGCCGACTTTGCTCGGCGCGTCTTCAGCGCGGTCTTCGAGGACGACGTGCAGCGGCTGCTCAACATGGAGGCACGCCTCGGCTAGATCGCGCCTCGGCTCGACCTCGGCTGCGCCTCGGCTCGACCTCGGCTGCCCGAGGCCTTCTTGACCTCTGGCGGTTTATACCTCTGGCATGACCTCTGGCAGGTTCTGTGGGAGAAGCGGAGGCCGCCCGTCAAGGTCGAGCTCGCGAAGCTGGCGCTGCCCGACGCGGCGGCGACGGCGCGAGAGGAGCAGCGGGCGTGGTCGGTGGAGGAGAGCGCCGCCGTGCTTCTCGCCTCCGTCGAGCGGATCTTCACCCAGCGCGCGTCGGAGGTTGGCTCGCTCGCCTTCGACAAGGCACCCCCTCCCCCTCCCCCTCCCTCTCCACTCTCCACTCTCCACTCTCCACTCTCTCTTCTCAACCCTCCCGCTGCCCACGCGCGCGATCTCCGTCGCCCCTGCGCCAGGATGACGACGACGCGATGGACTTTGTGGCTGCCGCCGCCAACCTGCGCTGCGCAACCTTCCACATCCCGCTCCAGTCGCGGTGGGAGATCAAGGGGATCGCGGGGCGGATCATCCACGCCATCGCCACCACCAACGCCGTCATCGCCGGCTTCATCGTCCTCGAGGCCTTCAAGGTGCTGCGCAGCGTGCAGGCGGCGGGAGGAGACCTCAGCAAGGCAAGCATCGACGCGTGCCGCTACTGCGTGTGCAACCGCCACCTCAGCGGCCCGAAGGAGAACCAGCTGCTGCTCCGCATGCGGCTCGAGGCGCCGGAGCCAAAGTGCTATGTCTGCACTGGCTCGACCTCGACGCTCGAGCTCGACACCGCCAGCTTCACCGTCCGCAGCCTCGTCGAGCAGGCACACAGCCCCGCCCTCCCTCCTGCACACACACACACACACAACCACACCCCACAGATCGACACGCCTCTCGGGAGCCCGCCTCGCGCAGGTCGTCATCAAGTTCCTCTCCTTCAACAAGCCGACCATCGACCTCACCAACGAGCTCGCCGACAAAACCGTCTTGCTCTGGGAGGGCGAGGACGAGGGCGGCGGCGAGGAGGGCGAGTTGCACGGCGACAAGCCACTCGACAGCCTGCCCGTCAAGCTCGGCCCGGGCGTCGTGCTCGAGGTGAGGCGCAAGGCGCAGCCCCTCCCCCTCCTCCTCATCCGAACCACACGGCCACCTTATCTACGCGCGCACGTCTGCGTCGGGGGGCTGCAGCCGCCGCTCAATCACCGCGCTGCGCCTCTGACCTGTCTCCTAGGTGGAGGACACCACGCAGGCGCTCAAGTGCAAGATCGCGCTCACGCACACGCTGCTCGACAAGGAGGAGCACCCGAGCGGCTTCCGCTTCATCGCCGCCGCCGACGAAGCTGCTGCTGGCCCGCCGGCCCCGGCTGAGGAGGACTCGCCCGGCGGCGACGGCAGCCGCAAGCGGCGCAAGGTGGCGGAGGGAGACGCGGCGGTGGCAGGGGCCGAGCCGAGCGGCGGCGCCGGGTCGGGCGTGGTGGTGGCCGACGACGACGACGACGTCATCATGCTCGAGTGATTACTGGTCTTGAGGGGGGACGGAAGCGCGCGGAGCGGAGAGGAGAGAGTACGGTACAGGCGGCGGAGGCCGCGGACGAGGTCCCACTCCGCTCTAGCGCTGCTGATTTATATTGGATTGAGTTTTGCAGCACGCGGAAAGGAATTTTTTCGTGGGGTGTACCTGTGTCGATGCCAGTAGTGTGTGCAGTGAACGCGCCAGTGTCGTCCGTCCCGTGCACACTTGGAGCTAGAGCTGTCAAACGTTAACTTTGGGCCTAACAGTTGCACTATTGTTGGCTGAAAATCCTCAACGTTGTTCAAGTGTTCTCCCCAGCCCAAGCTGTTACTGTTTGTTACTGTTGTTACTGTTGTTCAGTGGCCAGCAAGCAGAAAATGCCAAAAAACCCGGGTAAAACCCGAAAATACCTGGGTTTTTCCAGGTATTTTCGGGTATTACCCGCACTGGACGCTGGAGATCGTCGTGGGTCACTGCCAGGCCTTCCTTATTGTTGTTCAGCTGGCCTAACGTTAGCTACTGTTGTTGGGGAGCCCCACTGTTGTTCTGTTGTTACTGTTAACACTAGCAACACTGTTCAGCTCTTAACGTTTGACAGCTCTACTTGGAGCACTTGGAGTGCAGTCATCAACCTCACATCCAGGGCCGGGGAGCTGAGGAGCGCACCCAGCGGGCCGGATGATCGGTATCGGGTTGCGGGCTAGAGAGCCCTAGCCCCGGGGGTGCGCGTTCGCAGGGGGGAAGGGCCGTAAAGTAAACACGGGTCTCCGAGGGTTAGTACCGCGCTCCGGGTTTCCCCTAGCAGCAGAACGCCCCCTCTACTCGGAGCTAGTAAACACCAGACCATGGTGCATGGACACGCGACGACACACACTCCCACGTGGCGACGGCGTCACCCTTCAGAGGGCTCAGAGCTCCTCCGCCCAGTCTCCCTGCCCCCACCCCGGCGGGGTTCCCCCCTCCGCCCGGACCGCTCTCCTTTTTGCTTCGCGATGGTTGCACAAACGGTGATCGTTTAGACGGTCCGCGTCTTTCTTGCGCTGACAGGTAGGTATGGGCTGGCATGGTAGAATTCTTGCGCTTTGTTGATCGCGGCCGACCCATGCCAAAGCCACACGCTCTGGTGGCGCTGCGGCGGCGGTACGGCCTGCTGGCGGCGAAGGGGAACGCGCAGGCGATGTACAACCTCGGCCGGATGCATGAGAGAGGCGAGGGCGGGCCCGAGGACGCTGTGGAGGCGCGGCGCCTCTACCGCTTGGCGGCGGCGCAGGGGCATGCTGATGCGCAGTTCAGGCTAGGCGTCATGCACTGGCACGCCGAGGGTGGCCCTGAGGACTGCGCGGAAACGCGGAGGCTGTTCGGCTTGGCGGCGGCGCAGGGAAACGCTCATGCGCAATGCTTTCTCGGCGGCATGCATGATGCCGGAGAGGGTGGGCCACAGGATCTCGTCGAGGCGCGACGGCTGTACGGCCTGGCGGCGGCGCAGGGGCATGCTCGGGCGCAGTTCCACCTCGGCGGCATGCTCGCCAACGGCGAGGGCGGCCCTGAGGACTGCGCGGAAGCGCGGAGGCTGTTCGGCTTGGCGGCGGCGCAGGGAGACGCTGATGCCCAGTGCGACCTCGGCGCCATGCATGATGACGGAGAGGGTGGGCCACAGGATCTCGTCGAGGCGCGGCGGCTGTACGGCCTGGCGGCGGCACAGGGTCACGCTCTGGCGCAGTTCCACCTCGGCGGCATGCTCGCCGACGGCGAGGGCGGGCCCGAGGACGCTGTGGAGGCGCGGCGCCTCTACCGCTTGGCGGCGGCGCAGGGGCATGCTGATGCGCAGTTCAGGCTAGGCGTCATGCACTGGCACGCCGAGGGTGGCCCTGAGGACTGCGCGGAAACGCGGAGGCTGTTCGGCTTGGCGGCGGCGCAGGGAAACGCTCATGCGCAATGCTTTCTCGGCGGCATGCATGATGCCGGAGAGGGTGGGCCACAGGATCTCGTCGAGGCGCGACGGCTGTACGGCCTGGCGGCGGCGCAGGGGCATGCTCGGGCGCAGTTCCACCTCGGCGGCATGCTCGCCAACGGCGAGGGCGGCCCTGAGGACTGCGCGGAAGCGCGGAGGCTGTTCGGCTTGGCGGCGGCGCAGGGAGACGCTGATGCCCAGTGCGACCTCGGCGCCATGCATGATGACGGAGAGGGTGGGCCACAGGATCTCGTCGAGGCGCGGCGGCTGTACGGCCTGGCGGCGGCACAGGGTCACGCTCTGGCGCAGTTCCACCTCGGCGGCATGCTCGCCGACGGCGAGGGCGGGCCCGAGGACGCTGTGGAGGCGCGGCGCCTCTACCGCTTGGCGGCGGCGCAGGGGCATGCTCGGGCGCAGTACAGGCTCGGCGGCATGCTCGCCAACGGCGAGGGCGGCTCTGAGGATTGCGCGGAAGCGCGGAGGCTGTTCGGCTTGGCGGCGGCGCAGGGAGACGCTGATGCCCAGGGCACCCTCGGCGCCATGCATGATGACGGCGAGGGCGGGCCACAGGATCTCGTCGAGGCGCGGCGGCTGTACGGCCTGGCGGCGGCGCAGGGGCATGCTTTGGCGCAGTTCCACCTCGGCGCCATGCTCACCGACGGAGAGGGTGGGCCACAGGATCTCGTCGACGCGCGGCGGCTGTACGGCCTGGCGGCGGCGCAGGGGCATGCTTTGGCGCAGTTCCACCTCGGCATCATGCATGCGAACGGCGAGGGCGGGCCCCGGGACGACGACGAGGCTCTGCGGCTGTACGACCTCGCGGCGGCGCAAGGCGACGAACGTGCAGAAGACGCCGCTTCCGACCTCCGTGCCGCCCTCGCCGCCACGGACGGGGAGGATGAGGCTCTGGCGAGTGCTCCCGACGTCGACGACGACGCCGACGAGGAGGGCGCCCCGATGAGCGCGGACGGCTTGCGCGTCGCTGGCGCTTGCGTCCGCGCGCTGCAGGACTGCAACCAGCACCCGCTGCCGCCAAAGAGCTACGAATGCCCCGTCTGCCTCGACACGGCCAGCGAGTCGTGGCCGCATGAGAGACGCTGGCTGGGTCTGCCGGGCTGCGGGCACGTGGTTTGCTCGTCGTGCGCGCTCAGCCTCGCCAACGCCGGAAACTGCGAGTGCCCGCTCTGCCGGCAGTGCTGGCACCTGCCCAAGCTACAGGTGGGCAGCCGCGTCACCATCCTGTACAACGAGTCCGCCGACGACCGCGAGGAGACGCCTCCGAGTAGCAAGGGCCTGGCCGCGCGGAGTGCTGCCTCCGCAAGCCCGGCGGACGGCAAGGGTGGCGGCGGCGGCGGCCTGCCGTTCGCATCGCGCGAGCCGGCAAGCGACCGCATTTCCTTTTGGAAGCGGGCCACGAAGCTGCTGCACCGGCGGTCGGGGCGCGTGGAGGCTTTGGGCGACGCGTCCACGCGGCGCGCCGTCGCGGTGCGGCTGGATGAGGCGGTGGGGGACGAGTCCGAGGGGACGGGGCTGGAGGTCGCCGTCGTGGGCGTGCCGGAGCCGCATCTCTTCATCGTGGAGGATGACGCGCTGTCCATCTCTCCCTCGATGGCCGATGCGCTCGCCAGGCCAACCGCCTACTCGCTGGTGCAACTCGAAGCCCTCAAGCTGCTCCCGCCTGCGCTGGTGCACTGCTCTGCGTGCGAGGCGCGCTTGCCGAGCTCCGCCTTCTCCAAAAACCAACTCAGACGGCAAGATGGCCGCTGTATAGCGTGCGTGGACAGCCGGATATTCGCTCCGTCACCGCCTCTGCTATCGCCGCCTCCGGATCCGCCACCCGCTGCCCCGCCGCCTGCTGCGCCTCTGCCGCCCACTTCTGGCGTCGAGCCCGGGGCGGAGCTCGCGGAGGCGCCCTCCCCAGTGGACGCGGCGCTGGTGGCGAGGATCGCGGAGCTGCTCGGCTTGGAGGAGGCGCTACAGGAGGACGGCGCGGCAGAGCTCATCCGCCGCGCAAACACGCTGTGCGAGATCGACGGCGAGGGGACCCTCCAGCAGCAGGCCGAGGTCGCCCTCCATGTGATCACGACAGGGGCACAGCCGCCGCATTCCCCTTCTCCCCTCAACCCGTCTCCGCTGCCGTCGCGAGAGGCGACCGCATCGCCCGCTCCCTCGTCGCTCAGCTTCTCCGCTCCCTCGTCGCTCGGCTTCACGTGCTTGGGCACCGAGAATCTGTCGAAGATGGCCATGTCCTTCTTCAAGAGTGATGCCTACCTTGTGGCGCAGCGGGTGGCGCACATGGCGCTGGAGGAGGCGGCGGCCGCAGTCGGTGGAGAGTCGGAGAAGGAGGCGTCGGCGCGGCAGCGTGGCGTTTCCCTCTCGAGAAACGTCCTCGCGATGGCGGCCGACCAGCTCGCGCAGCAGGGCTGGGCGGAAACCCTCGCTCTCAACGAGCAGCTGGCCCGAAACGTGTCCAACGTCCTTTCGGCAGCTCGCAACGTCAAGGAGTCGGCGATGGACGCCGCAGGCGCTGCCGACGCGCAGCTGGGGGACGTGGACTTGCTCTCGCGCGTGGGCGAGGACGAGAGGCGCAAGCTCGAGGCGAAGCGGGCGCAGTCGACGGCGCTGCTCGAGCGCGCAACCGAGCTGATACGCTCCCTGGAGAGGGAGGCGGCCGAGACGTCCGACGGCAAGTCCGCGGCGATGCGCGAGGAGCTGCAGGTGCTGCAGCTGCAGATCGAGAGCATCCGCGACGAGAACTTGCAGCTGCAGGCCGAGCTAGCGCGAGTCCAGTCGGAGCGGGACGAGGCGATCGAGACGCGCGACGACATGCTCTCAACCATGGACCAGCAGCCAGCTGGGGCTGCAGACGCCCGAGGGCAGGCGCGGGCAGAGCAGCCCGACTGCCGCGCACCGAGCGAGAAGCTAAAGGAGCGGCTCAGGGACGGCCATTGGACGCTCTGCAGACAAGGCGGTGGCCATCCGGTGTACAAGCGCACCGTCGTGCTTCAGGACGCCACAGAGACCACGGTGCAGGTCTTCAGCCACGCGTCGACGCCCTCCGATTGGCGTAGCATGCACAACGCGCTGTCAGAACTTCGAGCGAAGGACAACGGCGTCCTGCAAGCGATGCCGCTGGCGGACGGCGCGCAGCCCGCTTTGTTTGTGCGGCTGGATGAGCTGCACAAGGAGAGGATAGAGTTGGAGCGGCAGCATGAGTTGAGGATGGAGCGGATCGCGGAGGAGATCGCCATGATTGAGGCCAAGTTTGAGAACGCGTATGGGTAGAGCGAGTCGAGACCGGAGTAGCGCGCGGCTCGCGGCGGAGGGTCGTCGGAGGGCGGGCCGGACGCGGTGCTCCACGCCGAGCGGGCGCGGCCGCAGCTCCAGCTCGCGGCGGCGGGCGGGCAGAAGGTTCGGCAGCGACGGGTGACGAGTGCGGCTACACACCGGCGCTGCTCGAGCGTCGAGGTGATCCGGCGCGTGCAGCGGCAGTTTCGGGCAGTTTCGGGCATGTGTCGCATGTAAGTGTCGGTGCGTACTCACGTTTGTATTTGCCAGCCGTCGTACTTGTGCCGACGTGAACCACACGGAGATTGAGTCTTCGGCGCATCGTGTCTCGACCACTGCAGTGGTCTCTTCTACGTCTTACGGCTCTAACGGTAACGCCCTCCACGACGATCGCCGACGCGAGCGGACGCAAGCTGAACTCGGCGCAGGCGCTCGCCGAATGGGGTGGGGCGGCGGGGCGAACGACGGTTTTTGCTCGAGCCGCGAGCCGCGCTCCGCCTGCGGATTGCGGAGCGAGGGAGGGAGAGGCGGCCTCGAGCGGGCTGCGGCCGGCGCGTCGCGTATCGTCGCCGTGTCGAGAGGCGCGCACAGTGAGGCGCCGATCGCGCGCGAGTCGAGGCCGTCGCGCCACCAGCGGGGGGGCGGCGCCTGCTCGACCTCGATTGCCTTGTCGCCGCGCCAGCCTGCGGCAGGGACGCGTGCGGTGGGCTCGTGCGCTGGGGGCGGGGTGACGGCGGCGGGGATGGCTTGCGGAGTGGCGGCGTGGGGAGAGTCGGGCGGGGCAGGAGGCGGGGTGGAGGGAGAGGGTGGCGGGAGGGGCGAGAGGTGGCGGGGGCGAGACGAGAGAGGAGCGGCACGCACCACGCTGCGGCATCCCCGACCGGCGGAGTGGCGGCGGAGGCGGGGACAGCCCGCTCGGTCACGTTGACACATCACAGCTCGTTGCGCAGCGCGGTCTCCTCGGCGGCACTGGGCGACCTGTCTCGATTTTGCAGCGGCTCGTATCGCCGCTCAACGGCAGCGACCGCCGCCGCCTCCGCCTCCGCACTCTCCCACCCTCCGGCGCGCGTCTCCTCGACGGCGCGCGCGCGGTGCTCCACCGCATGCCACTGCAGCGCCGCCTCGCCGAGCTCGCCGGCCGACACGCGCCCGTCGCCGTCGACGTCGTGGTAGACGAGCGTGTCGGCGGCGCGGCCGCGCAGCAGCTCCACCTGACGCGCGGCAGGCCGGCGGTGGAGAGGCGCGCATCGTGCAGTCCGTTGAGCACCCAGACAGCTCGACCTCCATCGCGACGCGCTCGTCCGCCGAAGGCGTGTGCCCGCCCGACGGCGTGAGGCGCGAGAAGTAGTCCTCGTCGACGAACCAGCGCGCCTGTGCGGCATGCCGTGGACATGTCGCGGGCGAGTCCTCGACACGTCCTCCTCGTCGGCGAGCCAGCGCGCGCCCATGCCGTGGCCCCGTCGGGCGAGGAGAGGTGCGCCTGGGCGTGGGTTGTGGACGGGCCGTGGACGTGCCGGCAGGAGAAGGGGTGTGCTTGGCGTGCCATAGAGCGGCGCCCAGGTAGCCGCGATCAAGGCGAGAGAAGGGGGGCAGAGCACGCGCCTCGATCTCGCGGACGTCGGCGCCCCCGTCGCCGTCCGCGTCGATCTGGCGCAGCAGCGCGGCGGCGGCGGCGAGGCAGGCAGCGCGGTCGAGGGTGGGCGGCACCGCCGCCGGGGCGGCGAGCGTGGCGTACGAGTGCCACCTGGCGAGCGATGCATATAGAGCGTGGTGTACGAGTGCCACCCTGGTGAGCGAGTGTCATCGACGTGTCGCGCACTTGGCATTGGTCGGGACAGGGGCGGAGGGTGGTACATCGTCCCTCCCGAGTGTAGGAGGAGCGGAGCCCCGGCACAATCTCGGCGGAGTCTCGGCTAGATCTCCACCGCTGCCGGCAGTGCCCTTCCGAGTAGAGGTGCGAGAGGGCGAGCGAGGGGAGGAAGGCGCGCACGTAGCCCGACGGCGCGGGCAGCTGCAGCTGGAAGGTGGACGAGGCGGTGCAGTTTGGGTTGCCCTCCTCCGGCACAAACGTCTCGTGGAAGAGGCCCGGGGGGAAGACAATCGCCTGGTGCAGCGGGGCAAGACGCGTCGTCCAACTCTGCGTGCGCGTGTGCGTGGGACGCGGCGGGCGAGTCGCGGCGTCGCCTCCCCCTCCTCCACCGTCCCCTCGAAGGCGGGCTTCCACTTGCCGCTGCCATATATGCGCCCGTCGCGGTAGTCGACGAGGTCGGCGCTCGACGCGATCGGCGGCGCCGGCATCAGTCGCCAACGCTTCCGGCCGGACAGCTGCAGCGAGACCGCGGCGGTGCAGTAGGTGTCGGCGTGAGCAAAGACGGCGCCTCGCCGGCGCGAGAACCAGAGCTCTTGTGACTCGTTGGCCTCGCGCCGGTTCACGTAGCCGCGCACAAAGTACGGCGGCCGCCACTCGCGCTGCACCTACGGGACACGTCCGGTACAACTCCTGGACGTGTCCTTGGCTGCCTGCACGGCGGTGGCGCCACTCGCGGGCGACCGAGGCGCGAATGTGTGGCGGAGCCTCGACGCCGCCGTCCTTGATGTGCCACACGTACGGCGCGTTCACCTGGTGGTAGAGGAATAGGAAGCGTTGCACAGCGGCGACCTCACTCAGCTCCATGTCTCTGCACTCGCCTTGCCGCCCTCCGCCATGTGCTCCCCGTGCGCCAAACGCCAGCGGTCTCGGCTGCGCCACGCGTCGTGAGCGAGCGGCACGTACTTGACGCCTTCGCCGCGAGTGTACTCCATCCGCATCCGACCCTCAGGCCAGCGCTCGGAGTAGTACTCGCACGGCCGCGACAGCCACTCGCTGCCGCCGCCGGCGTCCGCCACGATGAAGGGCACGCCAGCACGCAGCCGCGCGTCAAACTCGGACGCGCTGTCGGGGCGTGGGCGGCGGGCGGACAAGCGTCATCTCGGCCGATCTCGGGCGGACGGTCTCGGGGAGTCGTGACCTGACGGCAGAAAGCCGCTCGAGGGCGATTGGTTTCTCCCCAGTGAGGCCGTAGTAGGAGGAGGAGGTGGGCTCCGCAAGTGGTGGCAAGCCGGCCGCGGCAGAACTGTGAGGTCTCGTCGCGCTCTTTCTCGGATCCACTGCCCTGGCAAGTGGCCTGACTTAGGGCACCATTACGCGCGAACCGAGTCGCTCTACTCGAGTAACCAGGTTCGTTGTGAAGAGCTGGGGCGCGCCACCCAAGAGCCTAGGTAGGTGCGGATCGGCAAGAGCGCAATCGATCTTTTTGCCCTCTATCACCTTGGGTTGTAAGAACTTGAAACACACCACGCAGGGGCACAGCAAGCACGGATAGCCGTTGAGGAGAAAGGGCGTAAGCCGTAAGGTGTATGCGCAGCCACGGCCGTGCCGCGGTGGGCGCGCCACCTCCCGCGAGCGCGGCGGGATCGGAATTGCGGCCGGAGGGAAGGGCGAGCCGCCGCCGCCGCCGCCATATACCATCAGCGACGACCGCGGCTCGCCCCAAACGCCAGGCGCTGGATCGGCAGTAGGGCTCGGGCGGCGCAGCGTAGGCCTCGAGCCACACGAGTCGCCGACAACCCCCCCTCATCGACGTGATGGCCGCACCCGCTGCCGGCCGATGCAAGCTGCCGCCTCCACCGCACCAGCGATACTGGCCGCGGCTCGCCGCCACGCGCCGGCTCGGAAGAGGGGCTATCGGCGGCGCAGCAGAGCGGCATGCGTCGTCATTCGAGCAGCACCAGGTCCCCTCTTCGACGTGACGGCCGCTCCCGGAGCCGGCCGGTGCGCGCCCGACCCACGCCCCCTCTCGCACCCCCCCCGATCCCCCTGCGCGGCGCCCCCTCCACTGCGCGCCGGCTCGAGCGCCTATTGCCAAATCGCGACTTTCGAGCGCAGTGCGTGCGCCCCACACGTCACGCGAGCGCAGGAGAGTTTGCGGCAGAGCAGTACCGTGTACTAGCCGGAGGCATCGCGCCGAAAACCCCGCGCATTCCGCCCCAACAGAGGCTGCAGGAGGCAGATGGCCAATAGCGATGGCCAATAGCGACCATCGTTACGAAATGTTGCCTCTCCGGGAGCTCGCCCCGAGCTGTCTTGGGTGGTAATGGTAAAACCCTGTCAGCAGTTCACCTACGGGTAGAGAGAGAGAGTAAGCTAAAAGTACGTACGTACGGGTATGTTCGTAAGAGCTACATACACTGAAAAACCCGGCCGAATTGCCGACTTGGGCTGCTGACTGGCAGGCCTTCCTTATTGTTGTTCAGCTGGTGTTAGCTTACAGTTGTTGGGAGCCCCACTGTTGTATCCTGTTGTTGCTGGTGTTTCCTGTTGTTAACATTAGCAACGCAAGCTCTAGTTCAGCCATCACCCGCATGCCGCAACAGAGTCAAAGAGATTTTTGAAAACCAACATCACGTGTGTCTTGTGAGCTTGTTTGTGTCTGTGTGTCGCTCGTGCGTGTCGTCATCATCTGTCCCGCGTCCACCCATACCGCGTTGGTGTCCAGTCCGAGCCTGACTGTTGTTCATCTTTCTACAACGGTGCTGATGCTTGGGTCATGTGGAGAAGCCGAGATAAACTAGTTTCTACATACATACAACATCACGCTAAATCACGACTCTCACAGTGTCAGTGTACAGTGATTTGGGCTCGGCAGCTTACTAGAACGCTGTTCAGATGCACTTTCCAAATCACTGACTCCGCAGGCCCCCCAACGAAAGAACCCGGTTGCAAGTCCGGTTGCCAAAACACGTCACTCGTCAGGCAGCTCTAGCCTCTACGTAGAGCCTCTAGTACTAGTTCAGCCATCCGCATCACCCGCGCATGCTCTGGGGGGGCGCGGGGGCCCTAGAGGGTATCCATGCGGGGGGGCGATGGGGTCCCATGGCCCGCCGCAGGCGCCGATTTTTTCGATTTTTTTTCGCGATTTTTTACTTGTTTCATGGGATTTCGGCGTACTTGCGGCCATGCTATCACGCCTTGCGACAGCCTGTCGGCGCTGCTGACCGTGCCATGCTGCACAATTGATCACCTGCATAGCTCGCGGCCTTAGTATCAAGCATTCAGTGACGACCTGATCGTACGGCCAGTAGGAAGGTGTCCTTCCAGCTGCGTGCACGCTTCTGGCGCAATGCGCGTCACAAACTGCCTCAGATTGGCTGCTGGCACTCTCGAGGCTATGCCTACACAGCCTCGCGCGCATGGGCAGTCAAGAGGGACCACGCACCTTCTCAGGACCGCACCAGTGCCTCTCTCTTGGACCGGCAAACGTGGTGGTCTCGTGTTACCAATGTGGGACCAGTGCGGCATCGCGCCATCGACAGCTCTGAACTGCGCCTCACCACTGACCGGGAAGGCCGCCGAGTGGGCCAGCACCGGTCGCACATTGTGGCAGCAGTCAGCAGTGCATGTCTGATAGCTAGAGCAGCAGCGTCAGGGTCTCGCAGGGTCGGATCGTGTCAAGCCTCTCGCCCGGCCGGCCGCGTGCAGACGTCGGCCTGTCTGCTGTCTGGAGTGCTCTGTCGGCGGTCAGTACGACCGATCAGGTCGGAGTTTTCTGATGGTTGGAGGGTCTATCTGTATGTACTCCTCGAGATCTCTCCAAATCTGCCCTCTAACCAACCGTAACCATTCGGGAAGTCGGTGCTAACGGAGACTAACGGAGCCGGAGCCCCGTTTCCGCACTGCTGCGCGGCGCACGGTGCCTCCGGGGGCCCCCGCGCCCCCCCAGAGCGCGCATGCCGGCCGCAACCGAGTCAAACACAAGGAACTGAGAGCGGCCTCGCTACGGTCCCGAGCCTCGACGGCTCTATGCACTTTCCGTCAGTACTTCTTTCATGCGCGTGCGAAAAATTCTTTTTCGAGGTCAACCCGACATGCGGCAGGTGGCTTGCTTTGGCTCGCTGCCGCCGCGGTGGGTCACCAAGAGCTTCTCCGCGTGCGGCGTCATCACCGCGCGACGCGCTCGCCACGCCTCACCCGGGCAAAAGGAACGACCGCGCGCCGCCGCCGCCCGCCTCGCCTTGCCTGCCCCTGCCCCTGCGCCTGCGCCTGCGCCTCGCCTTGCAGCCGCGCACGCGCACACGCACGCGCTCACGCCGCTCGCGTTCGCTACCGCGAAGCAACCCTCCACCCGAGTTTCGAGCCGGGAGCCAAAAGGTCCCGACTCGAACCGCGAACCGGCTCGACCACCGCCGCTGGCGGTTCTGCAAAGGCACTCAAGGGCAGTGCCTCATATAACGTGAAATAGTGCGAGCGAGCGAGATACTCACCCGACCCACCGTGCCCTCGCGAAGGAGATCTCGCGCCGCGCGCGCTCGCACACGCCGCCCGAGAGCACTCCCACCCCCGCCGCCCTCGCAAGCTCACAGGTTGAGTTGAGGAGAAGCAGCTGAGGGAGATCAAAGCGGGAGAAGGCGGCACGGCGGCGGCGGCGCGGCGCCCCCCCATCCCCACGCCTCCGGGTCGTGCGTACCGCCTAAGGCTGTGTATAAAGATTGATTCTCGCCCCTCTAAGTATTGTCAGCCTCATCTCTAAGTATTGACAATATATTGACATATTGATCGCTGATTTTAACCTCCAAGAGCACCAAATGTCGACATTTGTCCCAAACATCGCCTAGATGTGGGCTGAAATCGAAAAAATCACGAGTTCAAAGCGATTTTTATGCGATTTAAGCGATTTTGAAGCGATTTGGGCCCCCGTTTTGAACGATTTAGAGCCATTTTCAAGCCCGGGATGGGCTCCCATATTGATATGTTGAGTCCAACCTGACGGTCCTGACCAGCCCAGGCCCAGCCTCTCCTCTAAGTATTGCAATATATATTGATATTGATCGCTTCTCTAAGTATTGGAGCAATATATTCCATATTTATACACAGCCTAAGTACCGCCTCCGGGCGTGAGTGTCCCCCCAGCGTCTGCTTGAGAGCAGACGCTCCGGTAATCAGGCCGAGAGTACCAGGCAGGTGGGGAGAAGAGCCCAGGGAGGGGAGAGGAGAAGAGCCCAGGGAGGGGGGAGGAGAAGAGCCCAAGGCGGCCTCCCTCTTCCTCCCCTCCCACCGGGCCTCCCTCTCCCTCTCCTCCCACCGGGCCTCCCTCTCCCCCTCCTACCGCCAAGTCTCGAGGGGCCAGCCGCTGGAAGGGGCAAGCCAGCGGCACGAGGGCTTCAGCCACACAACGCTACCATGGGAACGCGACCCACACAAAGCACCAAAGTTAGGCATACCCTCCGGCGCAGTGTCCCCCGCTATGTGTCGCCGTTCGTCGGGGCACGCAATCCTGTGCAGTCAGCCAGGGCAAGTGGGGGCGGGGTGGACAGCCCAGCGCAGATGCACTGGGATCTCTCTGCCCAGTCCGGGGGTGCGTCGAACCTACCATAACCCTGGGAACGTCCGGGTTTTTGGAAGTAAAGATATTTTACTTTCTTTCATGCGCATGCACACATGCACATGCCCGGCCACACCCTGATAGTGTGTAGAAAAGGAGCTATCCTAGGGTTGCCCTCATGGTCTATGTACTATGACCCGCCCCCCTCCTCCAGCCAGCAGCCGTGGAAGCCGGCGGGCAGTGGCACCGGCGACCTGCACTGGGCGAGCAGTCGCATGTCCTGCGCGGCGAGCACGTACAAGCTGCTCCCCCCGTCGGGGTCGGTGCCCATGCTCAGCAGCACCCCGTCATCCTCCTCGGCGCCGCCCGGCCGAGGGACAAAGAGCGGCTCGCCCGGCAGCATGCCCGCAACCTCGAAGGCCGCGTCGCCGCCGCGCCCCGCCACGTCCGTCTTGACCAGCCGGTTGGACACGGGCGTCGGCCGCGCCGCGCCGATGCCGTAGACGAACCGGTAGTCGGCGCAGCCTGTTGGGACACGCCGCGGGCGGGTCTGGACGGGCCTCGGTGCAGAGGTGCCGCCGCCGTCCACTCTCGCTGCCCGCGACGCGCGGGTTGATCGTCGGCAAGTCCGCGAACCCGCCGCTCACAGAGACGTCGTCGAGCGGCACGAGCTCCGGCGCTGCGCCGCCGTCCGCGTCGCCGCCTCCGTCCCCGCCGCCTCTGCGCGGCAGCGAGAGCCGGACGACGCGCGAGCGCGGCAAATCGCGCGCCTGCGAGTCATCCGAGATCGAGACGAGATCGAAATGAGACCGAGCCGAGACCGAGCCGAGATAGGGCGAGATCTCTCGAGATGACGCCGAGAGTATGGCGGGCAGCGGGTCGAGCGCCTGCGAATCGTCGGTGAGTCGCTCGAGCGAAAGGCTCGAGACGATCTCAGGGTCGTCGAAGGCGCCTACGCGCTCGGACAAGCAGCTCGGTCGAGCTCGCTCGAACCCGGCTCGTCTCTCGGCGGCGTGGAAGGGCACAGAGGTCGACGCAGACGGCGCCGTCCGCCTCGAAGGTGTTGCAGACGTGGAAGAAGAAGAAGGGCGGCTGCACCACGTGCACCTAGAGGTGGCAGCAGCCTCTTCTACCAGGGCCCGGGGAGGGGAGGGGAGGGGGAGGGGGGGGGGAGAGGGGAGAGGGGAGGGGGGAGAGGAGGGTATGAGTTGCGCCTCGACGGCGCCGCTACGCCGGTCGAGCACGTGGACGCGCGTGCCTCGCTCGGGCAGCCAGTCGAGGGTGCCTGTTGAAGGGGCGCGTCGTGTGGTGTGACCTCCTCTTCGACTCGCGTGCCTCGAGTGCCCCGTCGAGTGCGCCGTGGCTCGCGGACCGGACGCCGAGCATCGCTGGCACCTGTGCTTCACCGCACACGCCGTGAGACAGACACGCCGCGGACACAGACGCAGAGTCGGACGCCGGGAGCGGCGCACGTCGTACGCGGCCGGCTGCTCGATGACCACCACAGACCGGTCCGTGACGCCGAACGAGTGCAGCCAGCGCGGCGCCTGAGAAGCCAAGGAGCTGGCCATCAGTCAGCCACGTCACGGACGCGAGTCCGAACCAGTGCAGCCGGCGAGGCGCCGCGCGGTCGTCGCACGGGATCGAGGCGAGGAGCTGGCGATGCCACGGCGGCTGTGCGCTCACCGTGTAGACCTGGTACGACGAGAAGAAGGGTCAGGGTTAGGGTTAGGGTCAGGGTTAGGGTTAGGGTCAGGGTTAGGGTCAGGGTTAGGGTTAGGGTTAGTGTAGACCTGGTACGACGAGAAGAAGGGAGGGTTGATGTCGGTCGCCACGTTGATCAGCCCTCCTCCGCCCGCCGGGTCGGGGTGCGGGTGCGCCGTGCCCAGCACGCCCAGCCGCGAGCCTGCCGCCCACGGCACGCGCCTGCGCCCCGCCTCCGCACGCCGGTGAGTCGCCTCCTCACGGCCTCGGAGAGGTGTAGCTTGGTGGAGGTGCGGGAAAGGAAGGGAGTGCGTGCTAGGTGTCTCTGAGGCATCTAGGAGGCCACGCCCGCGCGACTTCAACGTCGCCGGGTCGATTGCCCTCCAGGAGCGCTGCGTCTCGGTCATCGCGACGAGGTCGCCGCCGTGCCGGACGAGGTTGACGCAGCAGTTGTCCGTTGGGTCTCCCGCCGCGAGCGCCGCCAGGGACCGAAGCGCGCCCGCCACGCCACCGCCCGGCTCGCTGAGCGGAGTCTGGAACTCGGCGTACCCGAGGGAGCCCGCCCGCGCCGCCGTTAGCGCGTCGGTCTCGACGAAGCGAGTCGTGAGGCGCGGAGGCGTCTCTCCACCGCTGAGCTGCACGCGGGTTAGCAGAGCGTAGCCGTCGAACCAGTGCCGCAGCCTTCGCTCGCCCGCCTCAAACAGGCCGGGGCCGTTGCGGAGGTACGCGCCGCGGAGCCAGTCGGGCACCGCGCCACGCACAACCTCCATGCTCGCGTCGCTCACGGCTTCGCCACGATAGCTTGCGAAGGCTGCGTGCCGCGCGGTACGACCACCTGCCGCGGTGGGCAGGCAAGCCACAGGCGGGAAGAGAGCGCAGCAGAGCAGCGCGGCAGCAGAGGCGCAACGGTAGCGACGCATATCAGCAGTCACTTGTAGTGAGCGTCGAGCTGGCAGTGTGGCACCACATCGGCCGATTTTGCTCTGCGCATGAATGGTTGCGCAGGTGTGAACAACACCTCCGAGCCTGGCTGTTCTTCACCTTTCTACCTACCTACCTACCTCCTGACCACGGCGCCGCAGGCGCCTGTTGATGGGTCCAGGTGATAGCCCTGGATGAGCAATGCATACGCCTAGTTGGTCCTCGGATCGCCCGACCGACCGCGTCCCGGTGCTCTGTGGTCAGGAGGTGAACAGCGTGGTACCAACCAGCACTGTGGGTCGTTGCGGCACGCATGGGCCCCCGCGCGGTACTAATCGTCGTAGTTTGGGCACCGCTGCCCTTCACGGCACCACACCGCCGCTTGACAGCCCGGGATTAGCCTAGCAGCGAGTGGACATCGCCTGCCGGTCGGCTGGGCACGAGCCAAGGCCCAAGCGGTCGGCTGGGCACGGCCGTCAACCGAGTCCGAGCGGCGCCTGAGGTGGGTGCCACGGCGTCTGCGCGAAGGCGTGGCGGGGTGAGGAGCCAGGAGTGGTGAACACCTCCCCATCGGGCGCGCGGCGCGCCGGATGGTCCGCCGAGGCCGCCGCCGCCCCGGCGGCGGCACGGCTAGCAGGAGCCAGTCAGGCATGCCCTGCTGTGGAGCAGAGCCGGCTGACGCACCGGCGATACTAACTCAGCGCGCCGCGGAGGCGAATCTGGGCGACTTTGGAGGCGCAGTTCTCGAGCTTGCCGTCGACGATTGATGTCGGGTAAATTGTCACTGCCGTCGGGCTCGGGGAAGGTCTTCTCTCAGCAGGCCGAGCGCCGTGGCCTGGCTCGGCTCGCCGCGAGTCGGGCGATTCACACCCGCCTACATCCACTCCGACGGTCACCCGGGAACCCCCGCCCACCCCCGTTGCGCGCGCGAAAGACAGTACCAGCTCGACGCGACAGCAGGGGGCGCGAGATGGACGAGGTCTCGGAGCTGCCGGGTGCAACCCTCCCTCCGGCGGGGCGGCCCCTGGCTGTGGATGGCGAGACCGCCGTCGCGTTTGGCCGCACTATGAAGATCGAGATTGCTGGCACTGCTGCCGAGGTGAGCGATCACGGCCCAGAGGTGAGGGTCGGCCAAGCGGTCGAGCAGGGCACGCGCATGGCCGAGTCCACGAGCGTCGAACCGCTGCCGCTCGCGGAAGCGGAGGAACAGCGCCGACGCCACGAGCTCGCAGAGCAGAACCCCATTGCGCTCGACGAGCCTGCCGCGGCCGAAGCGCCGCCGCCATCGGTGGCCAGCGCGGTCTCTGCCGCGACACCTGCAAAGCGAGCGGGTGGCCAGCTCGAGCCTCGCACGGTGCGGCCACGGGGGATGGCCGCTGACAAACCCGATTGGACAAACCGCCGCGTGCGTGTTCAGTTCTCCGACGGGTGGCACCGCGGCACGGCGCTGGAGAGGTTTGAGGTCACCGGCGGCATTGTGTGGAGGGTTCTCTTTGACGACGGCGAAGACCTGCGCGTGCCTGAGAAGACATTGCTGCCAGCAAATGAGGCCGCCGCACCCGCGGCGCCTGTCGTGCCTGTCGCAGCCGCGGCGCCGGCCGTCGCTCCGGCGCCGAAGACCGAGATGGGCGAGGCTGAGATGGAGGTGAAGACCGAACGGACCTCGGCAGGAAAGACCGAGGGGGCAGCGGAAGCGATAATCGCAGAGGTCAAAATGGAGGGCGCGGAGGAGCCTCGCTACGACGGCCGGCAACTCTTCCATCGCAATGCGCTCGTGCAGGCGCTGCAGCTCCAGTCGATCGGCAAGGGCGGCCCTTGCGTGACGACGCGGAACTGGTCCCGCGACGCCGAGCTCTTTCCCGACCAAGGCCCGCAGACGAAAACACCGGTGGTGTGCCTCAACGATGCCTGGCACCCACTCGCGCCGCGGTTTGCCGGCGACCGCCACGCCACGCTCTTCTGCCACGGCGACTGCCTCGATGGCGAGACGATATCGCTGATCGTGAGGCGGCGATCAGCGAGCGGGAAGGTGCTGGGGCACGAGTACTGCGGCCAGTACCGACTGCGTGAGCGCAGCCCGCACGGGCATGCCGACCTGAGCGGAGACAGGATGGCCGAGGCGCGGAGGACGTACGCCACCTGCCTGCACACGCAGGAGAACATGGCAGGCGTTCGCGAGCAGTGCGCACGGGATCTAGGGCTTGCGGCGAGCCTTTCCGCGCAGGAGAAGGCTAAGCTCATCATGGATAAGGTGGGGACGAACGACCTCGACCTGCACGTGTTCCCCGCAATCTACATCGAGTTCGCGGGGTACAAGGAGGCAGTGTTCCAGCGGCTCATGACAGCCAAGGCGTACGAGTACAAGTCGTACTCGTACCAGGGGCAGCTCGCGGAGCGAAGGGAGACCGCGTGCGGATGAACTCGCGAGTCGGCGCGCGCACACCGCACAGCGTGACCGCCGGGCCCAGGAGATCATGGCCGAGCTGACAACGGGCGAACCACATTTACACCGTGCGTCGGAGAGTTTTGACGTTGTCGACTACGACGAAGCTCTACGGGGTGCTGGTCGACTACGGCGCGGCTAACGGACGCGTGGAAGTCGACGACGTCAACGCTCGGGCCCCTTTCGAGGGGACTGCATCCATACCCACAGGCAGGCCCCTACTGAGGTCCCTACACCCGCATTCTGCGAACGACCCAGATCGATCAGTACTGTGCTCCAAGTGTAAAAAATTAAAAAGAAACACGAAACGCGCGTGGCCGTGGGCCGCCGTGGCTCACCTCATCGGACATCGCCGGGCCCAGTCGACCAGATCGGCCCGGTGATGCCGCCCGCGGATTTCGTCGGCTGCTCCCGCGCGACGTGAATTGTTGTGCGCCGAAAAAAGAAATAAAGCACACAAAAAGAAAGAAGAAAGAAAGAAAAAAGAAATGGGCTCTCCGCGGCGGATCTGCACTCCAGCTCCCTGCACCCAGCTCCCCCTCTCCCTCTCGGCGCGACATGCCGTCTTGCCGGAGAGAATGCATCGCCGCCTCGCTCGCTCTGCTGCTCGGCGCCGACGCCTACCTGCCCGCCCAGCGCGCCGGGCCGGCGGCGCCGCGTGGCAGCAGCAGCGTGCGCATGTTCGGGCTGGGAGCTGCAGCGGCCGGGGAGCGGATCGTCGTGACGGGTGTGGGTGTGGTGTCGGCGCTGGGCAACGGCGACGACTTCTGGAAGGGCCTGGTCGGGGGCAAGTCCGGGATCGACACGATCCAGGGCTTCGACGCGTCAAAGTTCCCGACGACGATTGGCGCCGAGTGCCTCGACTTTGAGGCCTCCTGCCCCACCGCCACCGCCGCCCCGCCACGCTCCGCACTGCCGCCGATGCCGCCGTCGCTGCCGGAAGCGACGCTGCTCTCGCATCCGGCCTCGCCACCGCCGCCCTCGTCGCCACCCTCACCACCACCCTCGCCGTCGCCACCGCCCTGACCGCTGCCGCCCTCGCCGCCGCCCTCAGGCCAAGCCGTGGTTCGAGAACGTGAAGAACGCAAAGGCGACGGACCGGTACTCGCACATGGCGATGGCGGCGGCGCGGATGGCGATCGAAGAGGCGCAGCTCCCCGACGCTGCCCTCCAGTCGGAGCGCGCGGCAATCATCCTCGGCACCGCCTTCGGAGGGTCGCCAGCGCCTAGATGCGGCAAGGGCGCCAGTCGTGGACCACCCGCCACGCCGCTGGCACGCGCCGTGTCACAGAGACCGCGCCGCCGCTGCACCCACACGGGCTCACGCGCCCCGCGTCGCCACGCCCGCGTCGACCCTGTCGCCGCTGCACGCCCCGCACCGTCTCGACGCGCGCCCGCTCCGTCTGCCCCTTTGGGGGACGCAGGATGGACACCTTCGAGAAGCAGCACCTCAACTTCGACAAGGGGAAGAAGGCGCCCGCCCCGCCGCCCGCGGCCCCTGCCGCCCTCTCCGCCGCGCCCTCACCTCCCCCTCCTCCCGCTGCCCAGGTGTCGCCCTTCACGGTGCCGGCGCTGCTGCCCAACACCGGCGCGGGAATCCTCGCCATCGAGCTGGGCTGCACGGGCCCAAACTACGGCGTCGTCTCCGCCTGCGCCGCCGGCTCGCACGCGATCGGCACTGCGCTGCGCCAGATGCAGTACGGCGAGGTGGGCTGCGCAGAAATGCGATGCTGTGAGGGAGAGAGGCTCTGCAGAGATGCGGCGGAGAGAGAGGCACTTTCGAGACACTTCCGAGACACTGCCGAGGCGATCAGTGGCTCGGACGCGGCATGGCGAGGCCCCAGTTTCGGGTGAGCTCGGCTGAGCTCGGCTGAGCCCGGGCCATCAGGCGGACGTCTGCATCGTCGGCGGCTCCGAGGCGGCGATGACGCCCTTCTCGTACGCAGGCTTCAGCGCGATGAAGGCGAGGCGGAGCTAACCCTAACCCCAGCTGCCCCGTGACGAGAGAGCGGAGTGTGACCTGGGTGGCGCGTCGGACGGGACCTCACCACGGCGCCCGGCCCGGACAGGCGATGTGCTCAAGCTACAACGACGCGCCGCAGACCGCGTCGCGGCCGTTCGACGCCACGCGCGCGGGTGTCTGCGAGCCGGGCCGAGGGCAGCAGGCGCGCTCGCGACACGTCCATGACAGGGCGGGCTCGTGCCCACAGGCTTTGTGATGGGCGAGGGCGCAGGCATGCTCGTGCTCGAGACGGAGGCGCATGCCAAGGCGCGCGAGATCTGCCGAGATTGGCCGAGATCTGCCGAACGACGTGCCGCAGTGGCTTCTCGTCGCTACTCTCGCCGCCGCCGCCCTCGGCTCCCAGCCGCGTCCCTCCCCGCCTCCCCGCCGCCGCCGCCCTCCCCGCCGCGTCGCCGCCCTCACCGCCGCTCTCCCCCGCCGCCGCCCGCCAGGCGCGCGGCGCGCCCATCCTGTGCGAGCTCGCCGGCTACTCAGCGACGTGCGACGCGCACCTCGGCGGTCTCTGCAGCCGGGCGGATGCCGAGCGGACGGGAGCACCCCTTGCTGGGTAGGTGCGACGCGAACCACATCACGACGCCGCACCCGGAGGGGGCCGGCCTCGCCAGCTGCCTCAAAAAGGCGCTCGCCGACGGCGGCGTCTCCATCGACGAGGCGAGATGCGGCCGGGATGCGGCGGGGGATGCGGCCGGGGATGCGGCCGGGGATGCGGCCGGGACGCAGCACTCGCGTGCGGGGTGAGGCAGCCTCTCCTGACCCCCTCCCCGGAGCCCCGCTGCTCAGGTGGACTACATCAACGCGCACGGCACGTCGACCGCGTACAACGACAAGTTCGAGACGATGGCGATCAAGAAGGTCTTCGGCGAGCACGCCAAGAATGTGCCCATCTCGTCGACCAAGTCCATGACAGGACACACCCTCGGCGCCGCCGGCGGCAACGGCCCCCCCAGATGCGGTCATGCTCGCCTCACGCACTCGATCTCTAGACACGCTCGTCCGCCGCAGCTCACGCGAGGCCGCGGCTGAGTCTGGTGCCTGGTGCAATGTAGGCATCGAGGCGGCCATCTGCGCGAAGTTCATGGTGACGCCCTGCCCGACACGGACGCGATACCCCGAGACACGCCCGCGCGACACGCCCCGACACGAATGTGCGCAGGCCACGGGCGACGTGCCTCCGACCATCAACTATGCGACGCCCGACCCGGAGTGCGACCTCGACTACGTGCCCAACGCGGCGAGGAAGGTGCTCAAGCCGCGTGCCGCAATCTCGGATAACCTCGGCTTCGGCGGCCACAACGCAGCCATCGTCTTCAAGGCGTACGAGTGAGCAAGAGGCGCGGCGCCGGGGGGAGGGGGCGGGGGCAACAGCTCTGGCATGGTTACATGGATGCGCGCGAGGCGCCTCGGCCGTCGGCGGTGGTAAATTTACATCAATAACAAGATAACCGTGGTGACGGATTGCGATTGGGGCGGATTGGACGCAGAATCCTGAATCGTTTGGTCTGAGAAATCGCGCGGGCCGACGCCGGGGTCCGCGGGGGGGGGGGGGGGGGTTCCGTTTTCGCGGCAAAATCGCGGCGGTTGGGCTGTGCTGAACAAGCTTTTCAAAAAAGAAGGGAAACAGAGGGTCCCCAGCACTTTGCGTTTCCGGAAATTTCAAGGGAAATACAGAGGGTGTTTGGTGCTCCATTCTGGAAACTCGCGAGTTTCCCTGAGAGCGCTGAGTCTGAGAGCTGGTCTGGGGCAAAATCTGAGGCAAAATTGAGGAAATCGGCACGATACCCAGGCGGTCGCAGGGTATTTTCCAGGTATACCCGGGGTTTTCCAGGTACACCCGCAAAATACCCGGTATTTTGCCGATTTGGCTGATTTTGGGCCCAAACCAGCCTCAGACTCGGCTCAGAGCCCGGAAAATTTGATGGTTTCCCCGGGAAAATAGAGAGGAAAAGAGAGGGTGCTGTAGAGAAAAAAGGAAAGGAAAAGAGACGGGGTGCGAGAGGAAAAGCTTGTTCAGCCCAAATCGCGGGGGCCGCCTGCGGACGCGAACAACTCTAACACTCACACGTCATTTGGGGCCTGGAGCCCTGTTCACGCGCGCGCGAGACGTGCAGACAGGGTTGCCAGGTGAGAGCGAATGGCGCGGTTCACGCCTCGCACAACAGAGAGAGAGATGCGCTCTGCATGGTGGGACATAAAAGAGAGCGAGTACTTGGGCGAGTAGGCCGTGCGGTCAACGCTGCCGCGCGCGACTTTGCGCGCGAGGCGGCGCAGCTTGAGAACGGCGGTGGGCGAGAAGCCGCCGCCGAACGTCTCGTGGAGCAGCAGGTTGAAGTTGTTGCGCTTGACAAAGATCGCGTCGTGGTAGAAACCGCGATGCGCCTTGACGTAGCCGTGGCCGGTCTTGTGGGAGAAGGGTTGGCCGGGCTGCCCGCGCGCCTTGCAGCCCATGTTTAGGCGGCGGGCCTTCTCTTCGGTGTTGCCGAAGGCGTAGGAGTGGCCAACGGAGGCGGGCGTGCCGCCGCTCGAGGCGTTACCAACGCCCGCCGAGGAGGTCTTGAGGAGGGGCGTCCAGAGCTTGACTTCATTCACCTCATCGCATCCTCCCGGGCCAGCGTGGGGTTCTGCGAGGTCGACCTTGTACCCCTCGTTGTACTGCCGGGTCGTGAGCTCTGGTTTCTCCTTGTCACCGTGCACGACCGGCGCGTTGGCCGGGGCGCGCATCGCGTCCGCCCAGGCGGCGAGGACGCCGTCGTGGGGCCGCCGGTGGTGGGCCTTGTTGTAAAGGTAGTCGCCGAAGAAATCGACTGGCATGCCCCGCTCGAGCGCGACCCGAAGGGTGGGAAGCGCCGCGGAGAGCCAAAGGCCGAGCTTCCGCTGGAGCTCGTCCTGGAGGGTGTCGGAGCTCGGAGGACCTCGCTCGGACGCGGGACGGCGGTGTGGTGCGCACATTGGTCATTGCGGAGCAGAGTCCAGACGCGGAGTATCTTTTTTATAGTGTCTTGGGAAAGTGCTTTGCAACCTCACAAGTCACATCCTGGGGGCTGGGGCTGGCCAGAGGCCGCAGGTTCCAAGCAAGGTAGGTCAGAGTATTCTTTTTCCTTCGCGGCAACGCGATGGCGGCAAGGCCACTTTGCGCGCCCGCCCTCGCCACGCCGAAGACCAACCGACGTCGGACCGCGGTGAGACCGCGCCGCCCCCCGCGCCCGCCCGCGCCCGCAGCGTGAACACATACGCGCGTCCCTCGCCACACGGAAACATACGCGCCAGCCGCGCAGCAGCCTCACATGCAGCGCAGACCGCATGCCCGCGCCCTGGGCCGCCGACGACCCGGTCGGGCGGGCTGAGCGGCCGCCGCACACCACCAGGCAGGCGCGCGACCACCCACAGCACGCCGCAGCCCACCGCGCAGCCCTGCCAGCCAAGCCTGCGCCTCCCAGCTGCACAAACAGGGCGCACAACAGAATACAGCACACAGCACACATCGGCGGCGCGCGCGCAGCACACGCAGACGCGCGCGCGACCGCAACACGCACACGTACACAGCACGCGCGCGTCGCACGCCAGCGCAGCGCCACACACAGAGCACACTTCCCATCAGCAGCAGCAGCCTGCCACAATCCACATCTCACACACGCGCGCACACACTCCCCCTACCGGCGCACGCATTGGGCGTCGCCGAGAGCTCCCAAAGCTGACTTGTGTGGCTGCTTGTGCTGCCTGCTCAGCACAAGCAGCCACACAACCCAAAAGCTCACTTGTATGGCTGCTTGTGCTGCCTGATTGGCAGCACAAGCAGCCACACAACATCCCGCTTCATCTCGCCTCCTAGTCTCGCCTCATCTCGCCTCATCTCGCCTCACCTCGCTTCATCTCGCCTCACCTCGCTTCATCTCGCCTCGCCTCGCCTCATCTCGCCTCACCTCGCCTCATCTCGCCTCACCTCGCCTCAACCCTCATCCTCGCCTCACACCTCGCGCTCGCCTCATCTAGCCTCACACCTCGCCTCATCTCGCCTCACCTCGCCTCATCTCGCCTCACCTCGCCTCATCTCGCCTCATCTCGCCTCATCTCGCCTCATCTCGCCTCATCTCGCCCCCCACCTCGCCTCACACCTCGCCTCATCTCGCCTCATCTCGCGCCATTTTTTCTTTTCTAGACCACTCCGAGACCGGCCCGCCCCAGACCGACCCGAGACCCGAGATCGACCCGAGATCGACCCGAGATCGACCCGAGATCGACCCGAGATCGACCCGAGATCGACCCGAGATCGACCCGAGATCGACCCGAGATCGGCACAAGCGATCAACCCAAAAATGCCCCAGAGCCCCCTCCGGGGGGACCCCCCCTCACCCCGAGTGTCCGTGTCCTTCGCGAGTCACCGATGGGGAGCGGGGGGGGGGTGCGAGATGCACAGGGGAGGCTGGGGAGGGGGGGGTCCACTCTGAAGACAGCCGACCGCGGGGGGGTTTTGTCCCACAGGGTTTTACCCTCCGCGTGAGGATCGGCGCGGCGAGGGGGTAGGTTCGAATTCGCCGCGCAACATTTCACCCCCACAGGACCCCGCCCACCCCCCCTCATGGTCCCACCTAGTACCCCAATGAGCCTTCGCACCCCCTCCTTGCGCAGTGTCCCCCACTATGTGTCGCCGTTATCGGGGCATGCTATCCTGTGTAGTCAGGGCAAGTGGGGGCGAGGCGCAGTCCCATCTCTCCTGTGTACGGGTGGGTTCTGTCCCTAGTCTCGGAGGGGGGCTTGAAGCTAAGAATATTTTATTTTTCCAAGCAAGGTAGGTCAGCGGGCCGCCGCAGCGCGGGGGAGAGCCATGACCGGAAAGGCGCGCGGGCCGGGTGATCGGCATCCGACGTACGAGAGCAAAAGAGCCCTTACTCAGGGGGCTGCGAGTTCGCACGATGCGGGCAAATAAAGAAAACACGCGCGCTCGCTCGCTTTGGGGTGTCTCTGAGTGAGCCGTCTGCCATGGATGGCAACGCTGGGAAGGTTGGCCTGCTGAAGACGACTGGTTTCTTCGGCTCGAAGCGATTCTGTGTCTTAAGCGACCACAACTTTGTCGCCTACGAGTCGGACGCCTGCAAGACAGTCAAACTCAGCGTCTCCGTCTGCGGCGCCAAGGTGTCCTCAGCTGACGACAAACTCACCATCGTCCCGGAGGGTCGTGGGCTCATCAATCTGAAGGCACCGTCGGCAAGGGATGCGCAAGCATGGGCGGCTAAGATTGCGGAGGCTGCGCTCCTCCCGTCGGCCGCCTCGACGCCTCCGCAGCCGGAAGCCACGGTGCCGGCCTCGAACGCCTCGGAGGTTCCCACGGCAGGGGATTTTTCCGAGCCCGCCGCTGCAGACCTCGACACCCTGTCTGCGATCGTCGGCCGGTTGGGTGTGCTCGGACAGCGGAGTGGCGGCGGCACAGCACCCGACCCCGCCGCTGGTGGCACAGCCGGTAGCCCTCTGCAGCGGCTCGAGGTGCTGGTGGAGCAGGCGGAGAAGAGCGCGGCGCTCCTTGAAATGGGTCACTAGAGTTCGGGCGCCGACCGCTGCCGTGATAACGGGTCCGCAGTCATACGTTAGTAACGGGGCCTCCAGAAGGCGCGATTCGTACAGATGTGCATGTCCATGCACAGGTCGCATGCGGTGCTGGCCGGCATGGAGGAGGGCGGTGCTTGGTTCCCCACATGTCGGTAAGAAAAACACAAGCGCCGCTCCAAGCCCTGCCCCTCTTGGCGCCCGACAGCCGTCCACGAGCATCGAGCACACCTTCCGCCTGCACGCTGCGCAGAGCTGCGGTGCTCAAAAAAGCTCAAAAACCTCAATGCTCAAGCGTCAGGAGCTTGAGCACGAGCATTTGAGCATTTGTTGTCGCAGCTTTGCGCAGCGCAGCGTGCGAGCAGCGCAGCGGGCAGCGCAAGGCGGACCTCTGGCACACCCGGGCGGCTGCGGGACGCGGGAGCCGGGGCCCCGCGACTCTGCGAGCCGCATCGGCGGCCAGGAAGCGATACAACCAGGTATTTTATTTTGGCGCCGCTGCAGAAACGAGCTTTTGGCCAAGCTGCAGAAACGAGCTTTTAGTGGCTATAAGCATAGGCGCGTTGGATTATCATGCGCGCCGGAGCGCGCTGGTGCTACCCGGACACACGCGCGGAGCGTGCTAGCTGGGACACACGCGCGGAGCGCGCTGGCTAGACACACGCGCGGAGCGCGCTGGCTAGATACCGCGCGGAGCGCGCTGGCACCTATGTGCGCGGAGCGTACCGCGGTAGAGTCTAGACACATGGAAGACAGTCTGTTGCAGTCAGTTGTGGCCACGCGGCTTCGAAGCTGGCCTGACATCGTAGCACGCGTCTGGCAGACGCTGTGTCTCTGCCTTCTTCCGCGACATGACCACAAGCACAGTCTGACGATCAAGCAGGAGAGCGACGTGCGCGCGCAAGCGGCGCAGCTCCCAGGCGACTTCATCACTGCCGACGACGTCTTAGAGCTGCGCAGGATGGGTGGCACGTAGCGCCCAGAGACACGTGCGGAGCGCGCCGCTGCAGGTAGGCGCGGAGCGCCGCCACTTGAGATTCGGCCTGTGGGTGGGCCGAGTGGTTCCTGCGTGTGAGTGAGTACTTGGAGCACTTGGAGTGCAGTCGGCAACCTCACATCCAGGGCCGGGGAGCTGAGAAGCGCGCCCAAGCGCGCCCAGCGGGCCGGATGATCGGTATCGGGTTGCGGGCAAGAGAGCCCTAGCCCTGGGGGGTGCGCGTTCGCAGGGCCATAACACTCTGACTCAAACTTTCACAGAAATCGCATCTTGCCCTCCACAATCGGGCGCTGCGGCGGCTTGCTTCCACTTTCGCGCGCGGCGCTCGCTCCGCGCCTGACTCCTTGAGCGTACTCCTTGAGCGTCGTAGGCGCTGGTTCGCACATGTTCTGCAGCTTGGCACCGAGGCCTCAGGTTCTCCGGCCAATATACATATTGTGTGTATGGCATCCCCGACCACCGGCGCCGCCGTTTTCTCCTCCCACCCCGTCGAGTGGCGCATCCCGATTGGCTGCGACTTTTCCGGCTTTTTCGTGGAGGCACCGGTCTGATGCCACACAGCTCTAACCGCCGACGATACTCACGTGTCACATCCGCTGCAGGTTGCTCTCGGCTTCATCCCGGTTCTCCGGCCTCGCGTATCCTCGCTCTACCTGTTGCAGACGCGGTGCAGCAACAATGACACACTTCTCAGATCTGACGTCTCCGCGCGCACGACATCTCCGCGCACATCTCTAGGTGCCCCGACAGCTTCCTCGCGCAGCTGCCCGCCGACGAGGCGCACGCCTACCTGAGCGCGCAGGTGGCGGACCACGACAGGTCCGCCTCGGAGACGGCCGGCTCGATCGTCATCGAGCACGGAAACCCGTGCCTGATGCGGCAGTTCCCGCTCCGGCCGCTGCACGTGGTGTTGGCGCGGCTGGCGAGAAGGGAGGTGTGAAGAGCGCCTCGTCACGGCTTCGGCTGTGAGAGCAGGTGGCGCGGCTGATGAGCGAGGGCATGCTGCCTCTCGACCAGCTGCGCTGCGCCGAGGCTGCGGACGAGATCTGGGTGCCTACCCAGTGGCACCGCGACCTCTTTGAGGCGCAGGGCCTCCCGCCCGCGAGGCTGTCGGTGGTGCCAGAGTTCGTCGATACGCAGCTCTTCCGGCCGCGCGCGGCGGCGGCGGCGAGGAGGCGAGGCCGGCGCGGCGGCGCCACGTTCTTGAGCGTCTTCAAGTGGGAGCGGCGCAAGGGGTGGGGCTGCTCGAGGCGGACTGCGCGGCGAGGACGCGTCCAGGACACGTCCGGGACACGACCGCAGGTGGGACGTGCTACTCGAGGCGTACTGGCGCGAGTTCCGCCGCTCCGAGGGGACGTTGCTGCGGCTGCGCACGTGCGAGCCAGGGAGGAGGGGCCGGGGCTGCTTTGGTTCTCACATCACATGGTTCGCGATGGCGGTAGGTACAAGCCTGCTTGGGAGCCGGGGCCGGAGGACATTGTCGAGTGGCTGCGCAGCTTCGCGCGCCAGCGGCTAGGCAGCAGCCCCGGGGCGCTAGCGCGGGTCGAGGTTGTGGAGGAGCTCTCTCGCGAGGGCCTCGCCGAGGAGTACCGCGGCGCGGACGCGTTCGTGCTGGCCAGCCGGGGCGAGCGGCGGTGAGTGCCTCTGTGCGTCGCGATGCCACGTCCACGACGCGTCCCCAGCATGCCCCCGAGTAGGCGAGGGGTGGTGCCTCCCGTGTGTCGAGGCGATGGCGAGTGGGCTGCCCACCCTCACGACAAACTACTCCGGCCCCGCCGCGTACCTCACCGAGGAGAATAGCTTCCCCATCCGCATCGCCGGCACGGACGGCAACCGGCAGGCAGAGCCAGACGGCGACCACTTGCGCCAGCAGATGCGGCGCGTCGCCACCGACAGCGCCCTCGCCGAGGCGGTGGGCGCGAGGGCGAGGGCCGACGTCGTGGAGCGCTTCTCGGCACGGCGCGTGGGCGATGTGGTGGTGGAGCGGCTCGCGGCGGCGGTCGCCGCGAAGCAACCGCGGAGGGGTCTGGGAGAGAAGCTCGAGCTGTGAGGGAGGACGGGCCTTAGGGCGGGCCATGCCGGTCCCACCGCGGCCGGTTCAGAGGCGGTGTGACGCCGCGTCATATATTACGATTTATTATTTAACATATTATTTTTCGGCGACCACAGCGCTCAGAAAGGTACATCGCGAGGTTTTCAGTTTTCAGAGTCAAGCGGATTGCGCGCGAAATCCCACAGCAATCCGATGAACTCTTCGTGTTTTTTCTCTCCCGTGGTGACGTCTCTCGGTCTGCCAGGCTTCGCTTCGTACTTCGTTCACGGTGCACAGGCCACAGCACATCAAGCGTTGGTAGTTGCGCAACATCGCGCTCCAGGCCGCCTGCCGCCCTGACACAGTGCGAGATCGTGTCCGAGCTTTCGTGCGCACGGCGAGTGTGTGCGTGTGGGCCCGCCCTCTGTGCTATGAGGTGTGCAAGACTGACTGCCTGACTGCTGACTGATGATATCGCGACACGCAGGCCGGACGCGAGGTGCCGCAAGCTGGCTGCTGATAAATGCTCACCACTCGGCCGAAAATTGATTGCCAATCTGGTGCGTGGCGCACTCCCACAGGTTCTCGCGGATGCGCGCGTGCTCGGCCTCCTTCCCCTTGCTCCCTTTGAGGATCTGCTGGAGCGTCGGCTGGAGGACCTGCTTTATGTAGCCCCGGGTGGCAGGGGCGAGGTCGTCGATGTATCCCAGCGCGAAGTAGTTCACCTTAGCGCAGCCGTGCAGGTAGCAGCGAAGCATGTTGAGCGCGGCGAGGCGCTCGTCGGTCACCCTGTCCTCGGAGACGAGCGCGCGATCCGCGTCCGACTGCGGCGGCGGCATCTCCTCCACTCGCCCCAGCACGTACACGTCGCCCTGATACTTGCCGCCGTGCTTGAGCGCCGCCGGCATGAAGGGGTTCTCGTGGTAGGCATGCCGGCAGAGGATGAAGGCACCGGGCTCGCAATGCGTATTCCAAAGCGCGACCTGCGCCGCCTCGGACGCGGGGTTGTCGTCTTCGTTGATGCGCGGCCCGACTTTGAGGTCCTCGGCGATACTCTGGCGGAGCGGCTCCTGAAAGTCGGCGCTGAGCGGCCACTGCTGCTGCACCCGTTCGAGAGTATTGCCCTTGAGTGGCCCGAACCCGGGCGTTGCGATGCCGAGCTTGAGAAAAAGGCCTAAGTCCAAGAAGTACCGACAGTCAGCCGAGATGATGGCGGTGCCGTGCTCGAAGGGAAACGCCAAAAGCGCGGTTCTCGCGCGGCACCGATTTGGAGCGTATGAAGGTGTTGAGGTGGAAGCAGGGCGTGCTAAGGCGGATGAACTGGTCCTTTTCCGGAGCCGAGGATGGAATCGACAGTGGGCCGGCGGAGGTCCCAGCCTGCTGGCGCGCCGCCTCCCATGCCTCCTCGCGCCCCTTGCGCTTCGCCTCCTGCTCCGCCGCCTGCATAGCTGCAATGAGCTCGGTGTCGCCGCCCAGCACGAGGCGCCTAAGGGCGGGGTGCGCCACCTCTGCCGCCGGTCAGATATCCCCGGAGCGCAGATGCTGCAACACCTGCCCTCCTCGTCCTCGACGAAGACCTCCTCCGGCAGCTCGCCGCTCAACCGGCGGCTGGTGCGCACTGGCCCTCGCGCCTCGGGCGCGGCCCGCTTCTTGCCCCGCGGCTTGGCCTCCTTCTTGGTCGAGCAGGCCGCCGCCGCCTCGTCCAGACCCAGTCGGGAGAGGGCTGCCTTGTTCGCTCTGATGTTCTCCTCCCGCTCCAGCTCGTATGCCGAGAGCAGCTCGGCGACCGTCGCCGCCGGTGGCGCGGCGGCCGGTGGCGCGGCGGCCGGCGGAGCCTTGACACTCTTGATGAATTCAGGCTTGACGCATTGCTCCTTGTCGCCATCGTCGTAGCTCAGGTCAAAGGTGCCGTCGCGGTTGCACTTGGTGACCGTCGCGTCGAACCACTTGGTGCCAGCGGGTCCGTGCTGACTTGCGAGGTAGCGGGCCCTCACACGCGAGCCGGAATTCATCGAGCGGCACGCGGTGAATTTCTCAATGTACGTACTTTTAGCTTGAGCACTTGAGCACTGGATAGGGTCGGTTCCGCATGGTACGGGACCCCTCGATCGTCTCGCCCACCCTCACTGGTGTGTTCATTGGGGGGGGTCATAACAAACACGGTAGCTTATTACTGGGAGAAAAGAGAGAGGGGGTTGTGTGGCTCTTACGTACATTCCCGGAGGAGGACTGCTTTCTTCCTTGATTTTTTCACTTTATACTCGTTTATTCACAGGCGACCCCAGGGAACCGTGGGCTCTAGGTTCCCTAGTGGCGTGCTGTGAACAAACAGCGCAGCGCCTGAATTTTTTGTTAAAACGGTAAATTTTCTTCTTTTGGTGTTGTTGACACGTCAAGACACAGAGCGCACACAAACGGGAGGCAAGCGAGAAAGAGGCAGTTGGCTGTTAAAAGAAGAAAAAACCAACCACGCGAGCTTCGCAATCTCTCGACGACAATGTTCGTTGCGAGAGCGCTTCGCCGCGCGCCTGCGCTCCGCTCCGCGGCTCCTTCGCTGGCGTGCCGCTCGCTCGCGACGGGCCCCGCCTCGGGCGGCGCCGTCTCTGACGAGATGCTCGACAAGCTTGGCACGCTTTCGACGCAAGCCCTCGTCGACGGCCTCTGGGTCATGGGCTGGCCTCCGGCGATGGTGGAGGGTGCACGCGGGCTGAAGCCGGGCCAAAAGTGCAAGGGGCGCGCGATCACGCTGCGCATGGTGCCGCAGCGGCCCGACATCGCCGCTGACAAGCCGGCGGGCGAGATTTCGCCCGAGTACGAGGCCTTCGAGCTGTGCGGCCCAAAGGAGGTGCTCTGCATCTCGTCAGTCGGGCCGTGGGAGTCGGTGGGCGGCGACATCAAGTTCCTGCGGCTCAAGCAGCTCGGCCTCGGCGGGCTCGTCACCGACGGATCCGTCCGTGACACCGACGAGATCCTGTCTTACGGCTTCCCTTGCTTCTCGCACTCGACTACCGCCAAGCAGGGCCCGGCTGCGATGCAGCCGTGGGAGTGCAACGGCGTGATCGAGCTGGGGCAGACCAACCCGGTCGTGGTCCGCCCGGGCGACGCCATCATCGGCGACCAGGACGGCGTGGTCGTCGTGCCCGCGGCGGCGGCCGAGAAGGTGTACGAGATTGCACACTTCCGCGAGACGGTCGAGGGCATCATCAAGGAGGAGCTGGTCAAGAACCCGGGCCCGCCGGGCAAGTACTACCCCTTCAAGCCGCCCATCAAGCCCGAGTCGCCGCTCGGCAAGCTGCTCGACTCCAAGGGTGCCCGCCGCCCGCACTAGCGCGCCAGAGGGCGGCGCCGCTGTCAGCCGAAGCCGCCTGGACACAGCTGCCGCCCGAACACACAGCGGGTGGTCGCCTCCCTCCGACCTCCCCTCCCACCCCCGCCCCTCCTCGCCTCTGCCGCCCGCGACAGGAGTCAAGTACTACTCGACCCGCGCCGCGCCGGCGCCTCGCCGCAGCACGCCGGCGCGCTTTGGCTCTGGACGGCGGCAGCTGTCGACTGCGCCGCCGACGATGCGTGCGGTGGTGATCCGCGAGAACGGCGCCCGCACGCGCAGAGTCTCGTGCGGCGCGAGGCGGCGGGGCCCGTCCTTGCACGCGTCTCTGCCTCTGGACCTCGCCGTAGGCCCTGCGGAGAGCCTCAAGTACGAGACGGGTTTCCCGACCCCCTCGCTGGCGGACGGGCAGGTGGGCAACCCTAGACACTTCCTAGACGCTTCCTAGACACCTCCTAGACACTTCCGCTGGCGGACGGGCAGGTGGCCCTTCCTAGACACTTCCTAGACGCCTCCTAGACACCACTGCTAAGGTAGCGCGCACCGGCTCGATCGCGAAGAGCGTCTCCTCCTCACGCACTCGCTCTGGTCCCGCCGACCAGACTCCGCCGCGGTACCAGACTCCGCCGCCAGACACCCGGAAGAGCCCCCTCCGTCCCTCGCGGCCCAGGCCCCGGCCGCACCTCGCGCAGGTGCTAGTCAAGAACGAGTACACCGGCATCAACTTCATCGACACGTACTTCCGCAAGGGCGACCCGCCCCCCTCCACGCAGCCCCCACCCGCGACACCGTCCGTGGACGCGTCCACGACACGTCCCATGACACGTCCCACCAGGCGGCCCCGCGTACACGCAGCAGCTGCCCTTTGTCTCTGGCCAGGAGGGCGGCGGCACTATCGTCGACGTGACGCCAAAGGCGGGCGGCACACAGCCATGCGCACACAGCAGCACCGTGGTGGCAGGAGGACGATGCGTGCTCACACCACCTCTCACCACCACACCACCTCGTCTCACCTCGCCTCATCTTGCCCCACCCCGCCCCGCCCCGCCTCACCCCGCCTCACCCCGCCTCGCCGCCAACTCATCTTGCCCCGCCCCGCCCCGCCCCGCCCCGCCCCCAGGCGGCGGCGGCCGGGCTCGCCGCCGGCCAGCGAGTCGCCTACTCCGTGCTCGGCACGTACTGCGAGTACACGGCCGTGCCGGCAGCCAAGGTTGTGCAGGTGCCGGACGGAGTCGGACTCGAGCAGGCGGTCGCGTGCATGACGCAGGGCTTCACGGCGCACTACCTGACCAACCACGCGCACGCGGGCCTGGTCAAGCCAGGCGAGTGGATGCTCATCCACGGCGTGGGCGGAGGCACCTGCCAGTGGGCGGCGCAGATGGCGAAGCTCAAGGGGTACAAGGTGGCCGCCGCAGCCTCAACAGCTGGAGGGTGTGGGGCGCCTTTCTCGGACCCTTCCCGTCCTCCCCTCCTCCCGCAGGTGATCGGCACCTGCCCCAAGGGCAAGGAGGGCGTCGACGGCGCCACTGCCTGCGACGAGCTCATCGTCACCGACACAATCGCTGGTGCGCCGTGCGAGAGCCACCCCTCGCGCGTGCCGACGACACGTCCGCGACGCGTCCGCGACACGTCCACGGCACGTCCGCTAGGCACGCCGTACGAGGACTACTCCTCGGTCGACATCGTCGGCAAGGTGATGGAGGTGACCAACGGCGAGGGCGTCAAGGCGGTCATCGACGGCATCGGCGCCTCGACGGCGCCTCACCAAGCCCCTCTCTGCCCCGCCGCCCCACCGCCACCCCGCCGCCCCGCCGCCCCGCCGCCGCCCCGCCGCCCCACCGCCGCCCCGCCGCCCCGCCGCCGCCCCACCGCCGCCGCAGGTGGACATCTCGCTCGACTCGCTCGCGCGGCGCGGCATCTTTGTCACCTTCGGCAACGCGTCGGGCGCGGTGCCCGCCTTCCCGCCGATCCGGCTCATCAAAAAGTCACTCCCGCTCCGCGCGGCGCGCATCGCCGAGCCGCCCCCGCGAGGCCTCTCTCGGATTCCGCCCTATAGGTCGCTCTTCATGACGCGGCCGAAGATGCTCGACTACGTGTCGACGCGCGAGGAGCTCATGATGCGCGCCGACGAGGTCTTCGGCTGGATCGCTTCGGGCGACCTCAAGGTTGGGATCGACAAGACGTTCGACCTCGAGGACGCTGTCGCCGGCCACCAGTACCTCGAGGCGGGCAAGAGCAAGGGCAAGCTGCTCTACAAGATCTAATGCATAGGGGGCAGAGACCACGCATGTCATGATAATGTATAGCTCTCCCTGGACGCCCCTCGGCTCTCCTGGGCGTAGAGGGCGCGGCGCAGCCAAGCGGGTAATGTAGTGCTCGAGAGGTTGTGCCTTGAGGGTCTTGCTCATTTTATGTTATCCTGGAGTTGTGGGCACTTTGAAAAGAATTTTACAACAAAACTCCCTCGCACGACACTGGGCACAGGACTGGGCACGGGACTGGCTCGCACTGGCACTAACACAGGTACATGAAAAGAATAAGAAGTGGAGCGAGCTGCGGGAATAGGAGTTAGGACCGCCTTAGGGTACCCCTAGGGTTCTGAGGGCCGGATTTTTTTAAAGACCTTTTAAGAAATGAGGATATTTGAGGGCTGAAATTGCCATTTAAGAGATAGATTGCAGGCACGGGCGGGGGGGGTCATCCCCCTCCCGCTGTGATTCTGTGTGAGCTCTGTCTTGTTATTGCCAACAAAAGCTAAAGAGTAAACACGTACTGTAGACGTACCGGCGCCTTCGGAACTGTCAACTGAGTACACGTAGAGTTTGTAGAGTAGCGGCGCGGACCGGGCGTTGCACGTGCTGTTTCGAGCTGCAACTCGCTGCTGCAGCCGCGACAGTGCCCGCCGATGTAGAGCACGCGGCTCATGACCAGGCCGATCTCAGGGTCGCCCGCCCGTGTCACATGTCGTCGAGGATCACGCGCTGCCGCGCCTCGAAGTTGGCCTCCGAGATGAGCCCCTCATCATGGAGGCTCTTGAGCTCCACCAGCCGCTCGCGCACGCTCCGCTCCACGCGAGGCCGCTGCGCCGGCCGCGCCTCCGCCTCGCTGCCGCCCGCCTCGCCGCTCGGCCCGTCGACGTCGATCGCGTTCGCGCGGCCCTCCGCATCCTTCTCCTCGCGCGAGCGCACGCCGGTGATCTCGACCTGTGACGACTCCTCCTGCGAGCTGGAAGGTGGCGAGTCGTCCTCGTCGAGGGCCACGCAGACCTGGCGGAGGCCACCGTACGAACTGACCAACAGCGTGCTGCCGTCGGGGCTGAAGGCGACTTCTTCTGGGCAGTCGAACTGCGCCGCGTCGCCCACGCCATCGGTGCTGCCCCTGGTGCCGCTGCCCGCGATCGTCGTCACTGCTCCAGTCGCCACCTCCACCCGCCGGATCTTGTGGCTGTGGAAGTCTGCCACAAACAGCGCGCCGCCGTCTGGGCTGATGGCGATGCCGTAGGGGTTGTTGAACTGCGCCGCGTCGCCCACGCCATCCGCGTCGCCATTCTCGCCGCTGCCAGCGAGCGTGGCCACAGCGCCCGTTGCCACCTCCACGCGCCGGATCTTGTGGTTGCTGCAATCCGCCACAAACAGCGCGCTGCTGTCTGGGCTGATGGCGATGCCGGCTGGGTAGTCGAACTCCGCCGCTTCATCCACGCCGTCCGTGTCGTCCTCGTCGCCGCCTCCAGCGAGCGTCGTCACCGCGCCAGTCGCCACCTCCACCCGCCGGATCATGTGGTTCTCATAGTCCGCCACAAATAGCGCGCTCCCGTCGGAGCTGAGAGCGATGCCAGCTGGGCCGCAGAACTGCGCCGCGTCGCCCACGCCATCCGCGTCGCCATCCTCGCTGCTGCCCGCGATCGTCGTCACCTCGCCCGTCGCCACCTCCACCCGCCGGATCTTGTTGCCGCTGTAGTCCGCCACAAACGCCGCGCTCCCGTCCGGGCTGGCGTCAACGGTGTAGTATTCGTCACTTGCCGGCAAGGCTGCCACGCGGCGCACGCGCCCGGCCGCCGAGACGTGCAGCAGTGAGTCCTTCGTCGAGACGAACCAGGCGCCAAGGGGGTCGCTCGCGACGCCAGCCGTCCCGAGCGATAGAGGGCCGTCCTCGCCCTTGAGCGCCAGCGTGGTGACCTGGCCGACGACGCGCGCGCCAAAGATGGGCGCCTCGAAGCCATCCGCGACAGGCGCGGGCCCCTCGTCCTCCTCGGCGACACCGCCGGTGCGGGCGCGCTTGCTCGCGGCGGACGCCATGCCTTAAACGCGGGAAGGCGCCTGGATTCGCTGTGGACTGCTCAGCGACCCGGCCTTTTTTTTTTCGGGCCAGGGAACGGTTTGGTGCTCCCCCGAACGTTCCTGAACGCTCAAGCAGCCCTAAAGCGTTCCAAAGCGTTCCGGGAGCCATATGCCACGCCGCAAAGTCCAAAGAGCCCAAAGAGCCCGTTCCTTGCTCGTTGTGTCCAAGTGAGCGTCCCGCCCGGACGACCGGTAAAAAATGTATTCGGCTTGACCAACAGGAGCGCCTACTCGCCATTCTGCAAGTCGTGCAAAGACATTGCTCTCGGTAATAAAGATCCGCGGGCTGTGCGCGAGAGGCTGGCGCCGATCGGGGTGGCCACAACCTCGCAGGCGAGGACGAGGAGGACGACGAGGCTGAATCTGTCGACGACGATGAGGCCTCATCGTCGGCGGCCATTGCAGAAGAACAGGCGCCTTGAGCGCGTCCTCGAGGGTGCGCTTGGGCTCCTTGGCCTTGGGCTCCTTGGCGGGCTGCTTTCTTTGCCTCCGAGCCCTCCGGAGCGGGCCGCTTAGCCGCGCCCGATGACCCCTGCTTGAGCTCCTCTTGGACGCTTGCTTGGCTCCATCATCGCCGGATGCGAGGGCTGCGCGCGGGCCTCTGCCAGCCGCGCCGTCTTGTCAATGCTATGCCGGTCGTTGCCGTAGCGTTGCCGGCACCACGCGCGGAGGTCCGGTGCGGAAGCGGAGGCGGAGGCGGAGGCTGGTGCAGGCTGTGACGCTGCAGGAGGTGCGGCTGGAGCGGGAGTCGCAGCGGTGGAAGTGGACAGCGCCGCGTTGGCTTCTGCCAGCCGGTTGGACTTGTCGGTCGCGTGCCAGTCGGCGCCGTAGCGCTCCCGACACCAGCGGTTGGCGGCGGGATGATCAGCCCATGGGGTGGTTGAGTGGTTGAGGGTCGAGGCGGCTGAGCCCCCCCCTCAACCATCTGGTTGACGGTTGAGACCCCCCGTCAACCCTTTAGTTGGGGGTTGAGGCCTCCGGGGCCTATTCACAGGCTCGCGCGTGAGCAAAAGATAAACTGGAACAGCCCTGGTGCCGCCAAAAAATCGCTTCGCCTGCGGCGCGCTCTTGCGCTCCTCGTACCTCGAGCGCAATCCATAAGTAGGAGACGCTCACTGTCACCATTCAGGCGCCTGATCTCTCAGGTCTCAGCAAAGCGATGGCCTAGGTAGTACGAGTTCATTCAGATGCGCGCCCGGCAGAAGACGCTTGTGATGCCGCATGCAGTGGAATGCGCACAGAGAACGGACGGCAAGAGAAAGGAAGGGAAGGAAGAGAAACGGCTGGTGAAGCTCAGCTCACGGCGTAGTATTGCGTAAGCAAACCGCGGTCACTAACCATCCACGCACGGCAAGAGTCACGGTGAATGCTGCCGCATAAAGCAACAGAGTCGCGGTTGGCGCGATGGTCTTGTCGCGGTCGAAGGCCTCTATTTTTGGAGTGATGAATCCCGTGATCCCAACCGCGTGTTCTTTTGTTTTTTTCATTTTACGCCTCATCCATGTGACAGCAACGAAGAACGTTTTGACGGACGTCGGCGCGAGCGGGCGAGGGCGCGAGACGCGCTGATTGATCCCTCATCTCCCTCCCGCAATTGCAAAGCGCGCGCTCAAGTGAGCTCTCGTGCGGCATAACGCCGACTCGGCGAGAGCGGCCAATGACACCTCCTCGCGAGGCATCATCTACCTGCCCACGAGCTGTGGACATCAACCCAAGCCTGGACCCCGAGTGCCCAATCTGCAACGAGATCAGGGACGGCGAGCAGCATCAGTGCAGAAACGGCTGCATATTCTGTGCCTCTTGCGACAGGCGCCTCCCCTCCCGCCGATGCCCACTGTGCCGCGTCCAGCTCGCGCCGCCCTCGCATGCTATCCGCTGTCGCATACAGGAGCGAATCATCGCCTCGCTACCTGCGAGCTGTGAGTACTGCCTCACTGCGATAAATCGAGGTGCGCTCGCCGACCACCGGCGTTGCTGCCCTCAGCGACCCGCCGGTGAGAATTACCAGGAGGAGAGCAAACATTTGCTCGTTGGAGAGGCCGCATATAGGGTAGCACCGAGCCCTGGCAACGACATTGGCTTTTGGGACATCTTGGCGGTTGAAGGTGGTGGAGATCGGGCCAGAGAGAATGTGCTAGGGCCTCACGAGCCTCCTAGGCCATGGCCACCAGTCCCAGTGGCAGTCGCGGCTCGAGCATGGTCCGCTGTCCACGGGCTCGCCGAGTGGGCAGGGGACATTGCGGTCGTTGCGATTTGTGCGGTGGGCTCCTCCCGAGTTTGTGATGCCTGACGCTGTGCGTGGAAGGAATTCTCCTGTTGCAGTTACTGTAGCCTTTTTCCCATTATGGCTGTGCTGTGTGAGAGTCCGTGCAGTGTGTGGGGAGGCCCTGCGGCCCCGCTGGCGCTGCGCGCGCTGGCCCTGCGCCCCCTGCGCCCTGGCGCTGGCCGGGGCGGTCTCTCTAGCTAGGCCTACTATAGGGAAGCGACAAGATTTCATGCGCGACATTTTAAACGAGGTTCTCACCTGGACATTCTCATCCACGCGCTCAACGGCATCGGACTCTCATCCTATACTTCCTCCCCCACTGCCCGACGCATCGTCCGGGCGCGCTGAAGGTGCGCGAGCAGCCGCTCGATGGCGGCCGGCGTCACACCCGCCACGGCCTGTGCCGCGGTGATCGTCGCCGGCTGCGCCGCCTCGAGCTTCTCCACCTCCTCGTGGCTCAGACCCGGCACGGCGCGGTAGCTCAGCCCGGCCGGCAGCGCGACCCCGGCCGCCGCCGCCTTGCGCGCCGCGCGCACCCGCGCCTCCTGCTGCCCGATGTAGCCCTGGTACTTGACGAGCACCTCTACCGCCTCGCGCGCCACCGGCTCGACGAGCGGCGCCGCGCCGCCGCCGAGCTCGCCCCGCAGCTCGCCCTCGGCCCCGCCCGCCACGAGACGCTCGACGCGCGCCAAATCGACGCCCGCCATCCGCAGCAGCTGCGACCCGCTGCGAGCCGGCCCCGCCGCCCTCTCGATCAGGCCGGCGGCGTGGCAAACCTCGGCGGGCACACGCGCCGCCTCGAGGGCGGCCGTGCCGCGCGCGACCGCGTCGCTCTTCTGCCGCAGCGCGGAGAGCGCCTCTGCGCCCACCAGCCCAACCTCAGCCGCGCGCCGCGTGAGCCGCGCGTCCGCGTTGTCGGCGCGCAGCAGCAGCCTGCGGCGCAGGAGACGCCCAGGGTGATCTCGGGAGATCTCGGGCGGTCTCGTCGCCGGCGCGGCAGCTGCAGCAGCCGGTGCTCTGCGCGCGAGGTGAACATGCGGTACGGCTCGGTCGTGCCGCGCGTGACGAGGTCGTCGGCCAGCACGCCGATGTACGCCTGCGGGAAGGGCCCGAGAAAAGGTCGGGGACGGGTCGGAGAAGGCTGCAAAGAGGACGCCGACGCGCGCCTCTTCCCGCCGCAGTAGGAGCGGCGCCTCGCCGCGAGCCGCGAGCGCCGCGTTCGCGCCGGCGACGAGGCCGAGGGCGGCGGCCTCCTCGTAGCCGGTCGTGCCTGAGGAAGGGTGCGAGAAGGCTCCGGGAGGGGGGCCGAGGGGGGGCGGGGGGCGGGCCTCGCGGTCGTGCCGAGGATCTGGCCGGCGAGGAAGAGGTTGCGGCAGCACCCCGCCTCGAGCGAGGGGCGGGCCTGCGGCTCGAAAGGGGTGTGGACGCGTCGACTCGACCGTCCGAGGGTGCTGCCGCCGCGAGGTAGGGGGTGGGTGCGGCCTGGGTGGGGTCGACGTACTCGTACTCGACGTCGTACGCAGGCTGCACGATGTCCGCCGCCTCGAGGCCGGGGATGGAGGCGACGATGCGCGCCTGCACGTGCGGCGGGTACGCGCCCGAGATGCCGTTCGGGTAGACGAACAAAGAGGAGAGTCTTTCGGGCTCGAGCCCGACCTGATGGGGGGGGGGGGTGGGGTTTGTCCCGAAAACCAATCCTGGGAAAGGGGAGGGGGGGGGGGG